GACCGGTCCTGAAATGAAATGGTGACAGGGAGAATAAGTCGAGGAGTTTTTTCGCTATTTTGATAGTCCGCCAGCCTCCTCGGATCTACTGGCGGACTCTGACTTTTGCTTTAAGCGGGCATGTAGCAATAAAGTGGCCGGCCGCGCCGCAATACAGACAGAGCTTAGATCTGATCTGCCTCTGTCTTTCCTCAGGGGATAGACGAGCCTCCCCTAGCTGAGGGCGCTGGGTGAGGCGCGGAAGGCTCATGGTTAACAAAGCCCTCCGCGGGCGAAACTAGCGGCCCCCTCCGCTTGTCTCTAGTCCGGGTGCGGGCTCGGTTATCCCGACGGATGGCCGGGCTTATCAACTCCTCCAACGTCTTAGGTTCGTCGATTGTGGCCAACAAATCCTTCATTTTTCTCTATAAAACGCGCTCTTAAGCGCAGCTGGGTTCCACCCTGAAGCTGCCGCTTTAACGCGGAAATCAATGGCAAACTCCGACACAGATTGAGGTCCCTGTTTCAATGTCAACAGATCTCGAGAGTCGGATGCCGGATCTGACGACTGATTAAAGACCTGTTTAAATTCCTTCAGGAACTCCTCGAACGAACACCCATAATTGGAGGAGGAGAAAAACCTGGCTTCAGCCCAGTCTAAAGCCTTGCCAGACAGGTGGGAAAGGATGAATGAAATTTTTGCGCCGTCATGGGAAAAACTGGAAGGTGAGTGGTTGAACAGAATCTGACACTGGAACAGGAAACCCCTGCACTTATCCATCTCACCTGAGAATTGCTCAGGAGCTGGAGGCCGACATTCATAAGACCCGGACCGACCTGTGACGTCAGTGCTTGGAGCGGGTGTGGGCGCTGGATCGGACTGCTGCGAAGACTGGAGGAAACGAGCGATTTCCTCGAGGCGGGAGTTTGTCTCGAGCTGTCGCTTGTTCATCTCACGTAACGCAGTGTCGTGACTTTGAATCAGTGAATAAAGTGAGTAAAGTCCGGCGGAGTGCGTCTGCTGTGGTTTGAGATTGGTCAGAGTGTTCTGTCATGTTTTGTCTAGCTCGGCGAACCCACATGCGCAGAACACACTCAGGAGGGAGACGTAAATGCAGTGAGATTTATTGCAACAACAAAATGTGACAGTGAAGGTAGCAGGGAGGAACAGAGCACACGATCTCGATGAATCTCCTGGCCAACGAGAATCCAGGTGGAACAGACTGTCAGGAGAACACGGGAAACAGGACCTGAAGGCGGATGACAGGAAAGCGTTAGGAACCAGATCCACTGGAGTGTTGGTGTGATCCTCCAGAAGTACTCCTCCCGATGAAGTAAGTGGCCACAGGTGTGCAGGAGAAACCACCAGTCATGCCCCCCTGCAGTGTCACGACGCCCCCTGGAGGAGAAGCTGAAGGCGCACCTCCAGACTCACAACAGTTGTACTGAAGATGCCAAATGGAAAAGTTTTTCAAGCGCGTCATTTGTTTTGCGCCATGCAGTCACAGCCATAGTATTATCTAAAAAAGATGACAAAGAAGCAATAAAGATGTCCATACCTTAACTTTTGTCATAATTTTATAATAATGTGAAAAATCTTATGTTCTTACCCACCACCCCTACTAACAACACATTTACAAGACTACCCTAGTGTGTACAATGAACACTTTGGTCAAAGGCCTATTCAGAATTGTTGTAGTACAGTCAGACATCAGCACCTTCAACAACTCTTTGGAAATTATGGAATATGAGTTACAACAGTTAGCATTACCCTGGGCGGAAAGACGTATTGAATTGAAACCTGAGGACTGTTGTAGGCTGATAGCTAGAGGTCCTTGTTAGTTTAGGAAGGCTCTTGTTGGGTCACGGTTAATATTATTAAGCATGAATGAGAAGTTCAGAGTTCATGTTCATATAAAAAGAGGCTCAATGGAGCCAAATCAGCGGTCGGTTATTCAATTCCAGCTCCTGACCAGGAGGTTGACCTCAACGCTGCCTATTGATTCTACTGAGGCAGAGGAAAGATTAGACCAGAGCACCAAGAACATTCCAGCCTCCCAATGTCTCTTAGTTGAATATCGTCATATAAAGAAGGTGTGCACCCTTTCACATCTTCTTTGATATTATATAGACATAGATTTTAATTTGGGCCTAAAAAGTTCAACCCAAACCGAACTTAGCCTGATCCGACCCGACTAATTAACTTTAATCATAGTCCTGAGGCCGAAGAAAAACCTAATATTATTTTAATTATGATTTTACTGCTTTGGTTTTTAGACCATAGTTTAAGTAAACATTAAGTAAAATATTTTTATCTTTTGGTTAACCTCTTCCAGCTCCTTTTTGTCACTTGTTCTAACCCCCAGGGTGAGTCATGTACAAATTTTATGGGATGTGTCATACAATGCACTTGTTACAGTCTGATTAACTTCTACTTTGTTACTTTATTCCCTCAACAAGTTTTTTTTTATTATTATTATTATTTTTTAATAATTATATTTCTTGGTTCTCAATATTTTTGACAAATAAACAAATACAATACAAAAACAAAAGAAAAATCCAGTTCTTATAGTTACATACAAAAACAATAGTTATAATAATAATAATAATGGAAGAGAAATGGTCTACACCAGAGCATTTCAGATGTTTGCAATTCAGTCCCCCTCAAATTACAAATCCTCTCCCAAAAAGTGCATAGATTTCAAATCCTACATAAGACATAAAAGATTCCCAAACTTTATGAAAGTTATCTTCTTTATCGTACAATTTACTTGTTTAATAGTCCAGAAATATATAGTCCAGTACTGTATTTAGCCATTGTGATTTACTTGGTGCTTTGTCAGAAATCCAATTCAGTATCACACATTTTCTTGCACAACAAGTAAAAATTCTGTAAAGTTGACGCTGATATTTACCAATAATATCAGTTAAACCAAGTAGAAAATACAATGGATTGAATTGTGTGCCAACACAATTCAATCCATTGAATTCACATTTTATTATACACCAAAAATGTTGAATTTTCCTACAGGACAAGTAACAATGTGTAAGACTACCAGTATCTGTCTTACATTTTAGATATAATGGCGAGAGCCTAGCACTGAACTTACTTCGTTGGAAGGAGAAATGTGCGCACAGTGTAAAATTTTTAATTGTATGGCCTTAACCCGATTACAAATACTTAAAGACTTTGCATTCTTCCAAGCCTTGTCCCATCCCTCCAGATTTATTTCCCACTGCAACTCCCTTTCCCAGACTTCTTTTAAATGTGTTGTATTTGACAAGGGGTACTCTTTCAGTAAGTTATAAAAGGTTTTAATTGAAATTTTTATCCTAGGGGAAAATAGCTGTTTTTCACACACTGAAATTATTTGGTCTACATTGAGTGTGTTTGTTTTCTGTATGAAGTCTCCAATTTGTAAATAGCGAAATAAATCCTTCCTCCCAATGTCATATCTATCCATTAATTGAGAGAATGATAATAACGTGTCACCTTCCATCATGTCAGAAAGTGTCCGAATTTCCTTTATTGACCATATTTTAAAACCAGAGTCTATAGTGCCTGGTAGGAACGTAGGGTTATCACAGATAGGTGTAATCCCTCAACAAGTTAAATGATCTACTCCTCTAGTTACATAATATTAAGTAGATTAACACAACTGTATTGTACATTCTTATTTAGTTTTCTCTATGCTGTATCAATAACAGTATTGTGATATATTTAAAATTAAATAATTTAACTGAACTCTGATTCAGAACCGCACAGCGTTCTGGGGGGCGTATGCAGAGAAAAGGTTTCAATTGCTCAACCTCTCACAGCTAAGAAAAAGGAGTGGCATCAACTAGCTCTTTGGTTACCTAGCAACAACTTGTTGAGTTATTTATGGTTACCTATCAACAACCTGTTGTGTAACTTATTGTTGCCTAGCAACAACCTGTTGAGTAACGTATGGTCACCTCGCAATAACTTGAGTAACTTGCACAGCAGCAGATTCAATCAATAATTATCAACATCGAGTGATAGAAAATGTCTAGCTGTACCATCCAGCTTAAACTGTATGTACTTCAGGCTTATTAAACATGTCACAGAAGGTCGACCTGACCCTGTCTTCAAAGAACTCTCACCTGAATTTCAGGTCAGGCTCAGGCCATAAATCTAAACTCTAATTGGACTCCCTATCTCAGCTGCAACAAGTGTAATTTCCTCTTTGCCATTTTATTTGCAGCCTGAAGCCCTTCTAATGGAATCCCAACATCTTCATGACATCATGTTTCTCTGTTCCCCTATAATCATTAGGGTGAGCTAGCTATTGTGCTAATTACTCCACCGTGACCTGCTAAGCCAGGTCAGAGCTAATATAAGGAAAAGTAATGAAGGGACACTCTAGAGAGAGAATCATTCCTGGCATTGGCGTTCCCATAGCTTCCTTCCTGTCTTCCTCTGGTTAGCAGCCTAGACCTCTCACACTTCTGCTCTGTAGCTGCTGAATGAAGTGCTGCTGTGTTCTCCCTCTGACTCCAAACTTCGCTTTGCTTTTTATGTCTCCCCTAAGGCGAGCCTACAGTATCTGCAGTAATAGATAAAATTGCAGCCACATTCTTGAAGTCATTCAGTCATTGTTGTCCAAAAACTGCATCTCAAGATGAAAACAACATGATTAAATCAGCCGAGCTTTGATGTTAATGTGGCTTCAGTTTTTCCTCTCTTCGCTGCAAAGCTGAACATCTGCCATGCATTATTGAACCCACAAGCTCCTGTTTTTTTTATTTATTTATATATTTTTATTATTGCATTAGAAAGCTGTGAAGCTCACCTCAGCAGACAACAACATATCCAAAGAGGGGGAAAAGGCATATTGATAGAAAAGCAATATCTGTCTGGGTGGAAAACGAGAACGTGTGCCACTCAGCAAAGAGCAGTTGTGTTCCCGGTCAAAGAGGCGGGGGATTTATTATGTGTGGGATTTCCCAGAGTGTGGGTCTGATTCATGGGGGCTTCTTCATCTGTGCTGCCTTCACAGGTACGGCATCTTCAGCCCGTCCCGGAAATGAACTAAGCTCACAGAGGAGAGCGCTGGTTGGTCGGTGAAGTCCTGAATCCTGCAGTGAAACCATGAGGTCACAACGAAGCTCCGGATTGGCTGGTAGGCTGAGGCTGCTGGTGGTCTGCTGCCTCTTTGCCTTTCACACAACCACAGCTATCGATATTCCTCTTGAGGGTGAGTTCAGATCAGACAGGAAATTATGGTTTTGTTTGTGAAGGATAACATCATAAAAGGTATCCCTGTCATTTTAGGTTATATATTAATATTTAGAGCGTCTGGTTCAAAAGCGCGTTGCAAACCTTTGGTAGAAATGGTGCGTTTAATTCTAGTCTCCAGTTCATACAGAACAGAGAAAACCAAATAGAATGCAATGTTGTGTTAATTCATTTTTAGTCTAAACAGAGGAGCCGGCAGTTTATCTTGATAATAAATAAATCAATCAATAAATCAATCAATAAAGGTGCAGAAGTTAATTAGCATGCTCAGTGCACTACACAACTAATGCAGACTAAACTTAACTCACCTTTTATAATGGTGGTTTATTAAAAATATAATTTCTGCTATATACTAAATAAGTTTATAGCAGAGTTGTTATAACATAATTAAGTTTATCCAAGTAAATACATTAAGTGTATTATCATGTTAAACAAAGTTTTAAAAAAATAAGTTCAACAAACGTAATTGGATTATATGTGACAAATTAATACAATTGTGTTTATAATAATGATAGTAGGAAATGAAGAAAAAAGTATTTTTTAACTTGTCAGAATCACAGATGAAGAAGATAAAAAAATACTTTGTCATTGAATTTGCTTTGCATATAGAATTTAACCTTGGATGTGTTAAAGAAGTATCCAGTAATAAATCACCCCACAGAGCTCTGTTATGACTGCCATGCATCATGTAGACCAAGCACATTCACAGACATTATCAGGCTTGTGCTTCATTCTGTCAGATCTGCATGCCTCTCCCTGTTCCCTTGGAAACGCATCTCAAACACATCCTTGTAAATTATTCAAATATTTCCTAAGCCTTGAGGAAAAGGAACAGTTCTAACAGGTTATCTAAAAAGGCTAATGCATTTTGGGATCACTGTCAGACAATCTCTCCTGATTGTTGTTCTTGTGTGTGTGCTTCAAGCCATTCGTGTCGAGAGATCACTTATGACAGGTGGGGATTATTCCCAAACCGCTGACTGTTTTTGTTTTGTTTATTTCCCCCCATGCTACCATGGATTATATAGTTTTGGGTCACGTAAACAGTAAGTTCACTCTGCATTACTGTTGTTGGTATTAAAGGGTCCTCGTTTTCCCTCTGCGATATCTTTACTGACAGTCATGTTCTGAAAGTCATTAATCCATACAACATTTTTTTGTCTCTTTGACAAAATAATCTCAGTTTATGGGTAAATGTTTCATCAGTTTGAGTTGAGCATGTTTCACTTCAGCGAACGTCATCATCATATTTGTGACAATTCTTTCAGTAAAAGGTGGATTTTATTTTTATTTATGTTTTTGATACAGACATAAATCTGATGCACAAGCAACATCCTCAAGCAGCAGCAACAGATGTTTTAAATGTGTTACAGGGAATTCACACAGGCCATTGAAGTGAACACTAGTGCATCACTAGTCCAGTACTGGCCATCGGCTACAAGTACAAGAAATGTTTTTCTTAAATCCGAAACAGGCAAAAAAGCAAGCAGACGTACTCAGGAATATCCAGTCGCTCCATCGACAGTACAGGATTCTTGCAGATTAAAAAATATGTATATATAAAAATATTGTGAACTCAAGTAAGTAGATGTATTTTCCAAATGACATTTTATGTAGAGAAAATTACAACTGATCACCTAGAAAAAAATCCTGTACATCTTTTTTTTTTTTTACCAAAATGTTTTAAAAAATTTTTATGACTTAAAAAAATAAAAACGCTTTTGAAAATAATCCTGACACAAAAGATCATAGTTCATGCATCAAGAGTAAATAAGTTTTAAGTACAAACAACACCTTCCACATTTACGTTTTGTCCTTGTAAATATGTAAAAATAGCCTGTAAATGAATATATTTTTTATAATATGTATATAGACCATAATCCATCTTTGAAAAAGTAGAAAAATCCAATCGATAATTTATTCACTGCAGATCTCATAAAATAATTTAAAAAAAAAACTCATGTTAAAGGAATGAATTATTTTTCAACGTCCTTGGTGATGAATCAGTGACTTCATCGAACAATTCCTGTGAGATAAAAAGGAACTGTTGATAAAAGTTTACTTTTTCCATCTTAGCAAAGTCTTGGGGAACTTTAATATGGTTACCCATGTTTCCATGTTCCCCTGGGGCAACAATATGATGAGACACAGTGGTTCATTTCTCTTGTCACAACAAACAAAATTAAGTAACTTTCCAATTAAGTTAATAATTAATTTCAACATCAAAAGAAGTTAATCTCAACAAGTTACAGAACCGCAATACTGACTGACACCTCAGGTTCAACAAATCTTCATAGTAACAGCATTTTAAGGCTTTTGTTCATCTTTGACACGACTGAAAATACTTGTGGAGGATGCCATATCTTTATAGGTGCATAACCATTATGCTAGATAAAAATGTGCAGCTTTCAGATGCACATCACTCAATAACCTCCCATTGTGACCATCATCTGTAGCGTTAAATATTAGATCCACTATGCATTATGCTTAATTAGCTTTTTTTTTTCTTTTTTAATGTGGAAACCCCAAGCAGACAACCATTAAGCAAAATAAATAAATAAAAACATTTCCAATATGCTGGAGAAGACGAGGATCTTCCCTGACCCCTGCACCGTGTAACTGCAGTGAAAAGAATCCATTAAGGGATTAAAGTGAACACTAGCACAGAACAGAACTCGTGTAATTAACTCACACAGTGAGTGTAAACAGGAACCATCAGCATTCTCAGAAATAAGACAAACTTTTAACAATCAAAGCTTTCAGGATGTCTATTCGGCTTCTGCTTCAGTCACAAGACACTGACAGGATGACAATAAAATAGAATTATTCTTCCGCAGCATCAGGTATAAATTTTAGGTTTTTACAAAACAAGTTTTTATAGGGACAATATTATGCAAAATCAACTTTTTTGAGCTTTACATCTTGTTATAATGTTATTTTTTCATCAAAACATACCCGGAGTGTTGCTGTAGTTTCTTTAATGCATGTTTTCGAAATCCTTTAATCTTGCTTACAACCATTTAGTTGTGATAAACATACTGCCTTCAACCTGGAGTTTCCAAGCTTCAACACTCGGTTCCTTCAGACTAGCCAGCAGCAATCAGCAAACACCTGGTGGAACTGACCATCTGTTCCACCATTCAGTAATATATAAAAAACAACATTAACAATAGTAATGATAATAGCTATTATAACAATATGCTAATGGAAAATACTGTGCGGCTTTTGCAAATAAAAATATAGGATTTGCCAGTTAGGTCATGTTTCCAAAAATGTACATAATGTGCATCTGTACTGAACATCAAAAATGTTTACAACATGCTGTGGCATCACCAAACCAGCCACCTGTCAGTCTGTGTCATATGTGTGCATTCATCATCTGCATTTAATCCTTTTGTATTATACTAATACAAAGACAGACATGGTAGTGCACTGCTTCCCAACCTGTGTGTTCAAATGCCTCAGATTAAACAAGTTAAGGGACCTGGCCTTTTTACTTCTTTGGTAAGCAAATGAAACACAAAGCCCCTGTTGCAGAGAATTTCCTCTGAACAGCAGAATAGGTGATGAGTTTTATTTGATGAACCAGGTTTGGAAGCAGCACTGTAGCAGATAAAACGTTCTTTGACGGGATGAAGGGCCTGCGCCGGGTCTTTGATTCCCATGTGTGCTCTACTGTTCACTTCCCAGTTGAGCAGCTGCCCACCATCACAGATCAGGCTCCCAGCTCCCTCATTGCCTTTCCTTTTGACGAGAGCTTCCCGATGACGTGCGAGGCCAAAGGGAATCCTGAACCAAAGTGAGTTAGTGACTCTTCCAAAGCTTTTCACACAAGAGCAGGGAAGAACACACTATCACATTCCAAACAACAACAGCTCACCATCTGCCTGTTGCTTACCAGGGTTCCCGGTTTGGGCTTTGACACTTTCACGCTTCCTTTGTTCAGATTCCAGTGGAAAAAAAACGGAGAAGATTTTGACCCTTATCTAGATCCTCGGCTGATGAAAGAGGAAAATTCTGGGACTTTTGTGATCCCTAACAACGGGAACCTCACAGAGTACCAGGGAACCTACCGCTGTTACGCTTCAAACAAACTGGGGACGGCCATATCCAAGGAGATTGAGTTCATCGTACCCAGTGAGCAACATTTGTGTTTGTGCTGTGTATGTGTGTGAGTGTGAGCTGCATGAATGTGTGTGTTTATATGTTGTGCCATGTTACAATGTTCTGGAAATTATTCCAAACCTCCTTATTATGAGGAGTGACTGAATATTAATGTAGAACAATGTTACATAGAGTTCAGAAAATGTATGAGAAAGCAGCGGTGCACTGATATCTGTTTTCTTGCCAATCACTGATCTTTAAAAAAGCTGATCTGCTGATATCAATTTATTCTGTTTTGGTTTTAGGATCTCCTACCAGCCCAGCAGTGTATTGGGATATGTCTCTACTAGCTTTGGGCATAAGGATAATGATATTTTTGACCATCTTTGTTTTCCAAGCTCTAAGCCATGAATGAAAGTACCTTTTTAGTATATCTGCAGTTATTTTTGTGCACGTTCTCATAATGAGAGATGAACCTCCATCCCGGTTTTACATCTTCTGCTCCCTCTAGCAGGTTTTAATTCCTGTTCTTAGGAAGTATCCTGGTGAAACAGGATACTTCCTGTTCTTAGGATGAAAACATCCTCACCACCATTGTGGCTATGTTGTCCCTGACCTGTCTCCTGTGTTTCTTTGTTTTCATGCTGATGTTGGTTCACTGAAGAACCTCGGAGGCCAGAAATAGCTGCTGGATTTTTACTGAGGTTCAGTTACATACTGGTGGACTGTGTTTACTCATTAGACCTGTTACCAAGGCAAATGGGTGAAATAGATTTTAGTTAGGGTATATCAGAGGAAAGTGGTGATTGATTACAAATGGACACCACAATGTTACATCTGTGGTTATAAAAAAATAACACAGTGCATAATTGTTTCAACTTCACAGTTCTTTTTTTTGGCTAGTCACATAAAATGTTAATAAAATACATCAAAAGTTTGATTTTTAGAATTATCTTGCTGCCCTCTTCTGGAACAGAAACATAACTGCAGTGTGATTTCAATTAATTTCCTCCACCAACTCATCAGTTTGCTCTGCTGTTTTTTCTGCCAGATGTTCCAAAATTCCCTAACGAGAAGCTGGACCCCGTGGAGGTGGAAGAGGGCCAGCCTTTCATTCTGAAATGTGACCCCCCCACAGGCATCCCGCCCCTGCAGATCTACTGGATGACTATCAGTAAATGATGCCTCATTTCTTTCTCCATCTTCTTTATTAATAGATGCAGTGAATATCTTACCTTCTGAATCACGTTATGAGAGGTATATATAGGCTTTAAAACAGCCCTAAGCTGCAGTAATCCATTTAAACATCCCTGATCTGAATATGTGTCAGTACTCACAATCTCAAACATTTAACTTTAAACCCAATTTTGGAGCTTCACATTGCCAAAGGCAGTCAGTGTGTCAGGAGAAATTCTGCCAAAAAAGGAGAAAAAAACAATATGTTTTAATGCACCACATGTGACTATAGCATAAAGTCATTTTTCCCTTCCTTCTTTAAATACATGTTAACGCGGCAGGATTATGTTAAATAACATTATGATGTTATTCCCTCATCAAAACATACCTGAAGTGTTGCCTTGATTCTTTCTTGTTTGAGAAATCCTTTAATCTCCATGGCAACCATTGAGCCATGCAAAACGCCTGGGTGGACCTAGCACAATCTTCAAGGTAGAAGCTCCTCCTCCTGCGGTTTCCAAAGTCCCACCTCACAGAGCAGTCTTCACCCACTCAGTTCCTTCAGAGTAGCCACAGGCAATTAGCAGACACCTATTGCTTGCAGAGCAATGTTGGTTAATTTCTTGAAGAGACAGAGACAGAGGCCCAGTTTCAAGATGTCAATTGAAATAATTTTTTTTTAAAGTTGTATGTGGTATGTGTAGCGTTTTCATAAAAACTGAAGGTATCAGTAACTTGATTGTGCTATAAAATGGCACTATGTGCCTAAAATAATTTAGTGCTGCCCCTTTAAATGTATAAGAAATTACTTTCTATCAGTTTTATTTCTGCTGCCTTGTTACTCTCAGACCTCCAGCACATTGAGCAGGACGAGCGGGTGTCCACCGGCCTCAACGGAGACCTCTACTTCTCACACGCGGTGGAGAAGGACAGCCGGAGGGACTACTGCTGCTTCGCCGCTTTCCATAGGATACGCACCATCGTTCAGAAGACCGCCATGTCTGTCAACGTCAAGACAAGTAGGTTGCTGAGCCACATGCCATGACAAAAACTTTGACTTTCCATCTCCAACAATCACAAAAATCCATTTTGATGTCATGTTGTCTCATTTATTTGAATGTTTTCAGTCGTTTGGGTTATTTTTTTATCTTTTTATGATTCACCCACATTGTCCTCGATGTGTGTGTCATCCAACTTCCATGTCAGGAGGAGGTGACAGGTCTGAGAGCGGTAAGTTAGAAGAGGGAATTTCAGACTTTTTATCTTTACAGTTCTATGATATTGTCATATTCTTTCTTGTTCACCAGCTAATGCAATCCTGGAGAGGAAACCCTCACTTCTGACGCCCCCTGGTGGCAGTTCAGAGAAACAGCTGGTCAAAGGAGAGGACTTGGAATTGGAGTGTATTCCAGAAGGAATGTGAGTACCACCACATAAAGTGATGACGTTTGGAAAGCGGTTTCATGCTTTAACTTGACTTCTGTCTTTCTGCAGTCCAACTCCACAGGTGGAGTGGATAAAAATTGGTGATCAGCTTCCCGTTAAAGCAAAGCTGGAGAATCACAGGAAGCTGCTGATCGTTCCGAGAGCCCAACAGGAGGACAGTGGGAGGTACATGTGCAGAGCAAAGAACCCACTGGGAGAAGTTGTCCATTACTTCACAGTGACAGTTGAAGGTAAAAGAAAAGTCAATAATTAGGTTAAAACACTTTAACTTTCCTCATCAAATCCACAATATGTAGGTCTCCTTTGACCCTCTGTTGCTGCAGGTTAGGATTACAAACCTATCCTGTCTCTATTGAATTAACATTTGGGCATGCTGTGTGCGTGCTGTGGTGGTGCAGGGAGTTAGCACGCCTCACGCTTGGAGGCCTCAGTCCTCAATGTGGACGTCGTGGGTCCGGCGACCTTTGCCGTGTGTCTTCCCCTCTGTCCTCTCCCTCTTTCCTGTCAGTCTACTGTCAAAAACTGTGAGCCACTGGTGCTGCTAAAAACTCTTTGAAGAAGAAAAAAAAAGAATTAACATTCAGCAATTACCTTTCAAACTTTAATGGTTACTAACAGTTATTTTTTAATCATTTAAACCTTCAGTTTGCAACCAAAAATGTACTAAACAATGCTTTATTGAAATATGAATAAGCATTTATTCTTAAAAAATAACAGAAAAAGATGAATCAAAGTATTTGTTGGAGTAGTAATGACTGAAAACTATTGTCTTCTCATTTTTCAAATTTTGCACAAAATATGTCTTGGAGGTGTGGTTTTTATTTTCTTGTTTAGCTGCCAGTGATCCAATTAGTAGTGGGGTTGATCTTATTTACTGATCTTATCTACTTCAGCAAAGGTCTAAAAGTCACCCTCTGTCCTCTTCTCTCTGCAGTAAGAGAGGTTTGATTGTTAGCCCTGCCTTCCAGGTCACTTCTGCATGTCTGCAGTTAATATTCACCCCACTGTTACCAACTCTGCAACTTTCTTGCTATATTTAGCAACAATTCAGACAAAAGAAATCGGTGTCGGCCAAAATTAGAATCTGCAGCTCAGGCTTTTGAAAGATCAATAATCAGCCAGAAATGTGCAATCAGTGCACCCCTAGTTGTGTCTTTACATTTCAGTCTGTATGTATAATACTGACCCTACATTAAGTAGAAAAATCTTCCCTAAGATGTCAAATTGACTTGAACTGCTGTTGACATGCTTTCATGGTCACCTCATTTGTTTATGTTCAAAGTTCTCTGCCCTTTGATTACATTTTATTTTATTCTTTTATTCATTTATTATATATATATATATATATATATATATATATATATATATATATATATATATATATATATATATATATATATATTATTATTATTTTTTTTTAATGCATTTTTTCACAGATTATATGCTTCATAATATACGGTGACAGCATTGTAATATAATTTAATATAGTTTAAATTATTTTTAAAAGTTATATATCGCAGCTTTAACTAAGTTTACACTCTCTTAGCACACTTAAATGTCACAATTTGCACAGGAACACAAAGTTAGCACCATTGTACTGCAGAGACATAAAATCTTACAAAGAATCTTCAGTTTAGTTTCTAGTGCAAATATCTTAATAGGCTTGAAATAAGACAAAAAACTAAGTTACTAATAACTTTTCAGCAAGATACAGGAGCTTGACTTAAGTCAATAATTCCTTAATATTGATTTAAAAAGTAGTAGTTCCTCTGGCAGATTGTTCAACTTACAACAAAACAATTTTCCCATAAGTGAAAAAATATTCAAGGATTTTTTTTTATTGCCATGTCACCTTTGCTTGTTTATGTTTTTGTTTATGCCAATGTAATAAGTATTTTCTCATCAATATTAAGGAATAATTTTCTTAAAACAAGCTTTCTAATACCCTCAAGTCAAGTCAAGTTCATTTCTATAGCACATTTACAACAGCGTCAGGTGACCAAAGTGCTTCACAACAAACATCACAGGGAGATAAAGATATTTGCTCTACTTTCTCTTCTGACAACTTCTAATTTAGATTTGTCTTATTCTAAGACATTTGCACTAAAAATTCGACCAAAAATACATGTTAGGATTTTATGCTCTTTGAGTGTGAAGACCAATTTATACAGTTTATCTGCAAAAAAAGTTGATTTGATGTTAAGTTACTCTTTAATTCATCCACTCAATCTACAAAGGCTACATAACATTGCTGTGCCTTTAACTGCAGGTTATGGAAAACAATTAGTATAAAAATGATGGTAATTAATTAAAATGCTTGATCACTTTGCACCACTTATGACACAAAAGACAGAAAATCCACAATTACCATTGCTTCACAATAGCTGCTCTGCTGTTCAGAGTTTGTTTAAAAGAGGACATCTACAGCGACGTCCTTGTGAGTGAACCTGAGCAGGTGTTATTGTTTAAGTGTTGGGTGAGAATTACACTTGATTCTAGCATGAGCAGAAGAAATGTTCCTTTGTTGGTCCATGTCTGCAGGCCTTGGATAAAAAAATCCCACAGCATTACTTTATACTGCATAGCACGCAGTGGAGAGGTGACTTTCTCTATGCCAGTGTTTCCCAACCCGGGTCCTCGAGGCTCACTGCCCTGCATATTTTAAATATTTCCTTGCTTCAGTCCAGCTGATCTCAATTGATGTCTGATTAACAGGTGTTTGTTGAACTGCAATCAGTTGAATCAGGCACATTAAAGCAGGTAAACCGCTAAAACATGTAGGTCAGTGAGCCTCGAGGACCGGGGTTGGGAAACACTGCTCTATGACAGTGATAACATGGAGATGACTGTGTGTTCCCAGGTCCTCCTGAGTGGGAGTCAGAGCCACAGAGCCAGCTCAGTATGATCGGCTCCCACGTCCACATCAAGTGCTCGGCCCGTGGCATCCCGGAGCCCACCATCACATGGAGGGTGAACGGCCAGCTGCTGCAGGGTCAGTCCCACCACACTGATCATGCAACACTGCAAAAACACTGGAACTTACCAAGTATCTTTGCTCTGGTTCCAATCAATTAGGAGTTTGGAGTGTCAGTTTGTAATCATTTTGTTTTAGGTAATATTGTTTATTTGTAGGTTCCTTAGCACAGTAAATTGCATGTTTTTAATTATGCATTTCTGGTCATTATTGAGTTGGTAAGTGATGATTTTATTAACTTCTGGTAGATTATCTCACCTTTAAGATAGGGAAATATTATGATGGTGGAAGTAGTACTTTTTCATCAATATAAAGAAATTATTAACTTAAAATAAGCTCTTATGTTTTGCTGAAAAGTTACTTTTAAGTTAGTTTGTCTTATTTCAAGTGCACTGAGATATTTCTACTAGAACTAGACCAAAATTACTTGGTAAGATGTTGTGGTTTTGGAGTGTAAAAGAAAACTTTTCTGGTTTTGGCTTTAAAACAATAGAAAAAAAAATGTCGGAAAGTTGAGAAAATTAAAATGGAATCAACTGTGTTTTCTGGTTTACCTTAATGGAGAAGGATTGTGGTATCTGAGACCTGGCTGACCGGTTTCATTTATTTCACTTCTCATTTCCTTAGTAGGCTCAAATGTCTCGGTTTTTAATTTTCTTGTCCTTCAGAGCTGTGCTGCTGCTTCAAATGGAGCAGCATTTTGGAAGGTTTATTTGCCAGACCTGACTTGTTTAACAGTTTAGCTGCAGCTAAACTGTTAAACAAAGCTTATATTCAGATCATTGTGGCAAATGAGCACTAAGAGTGCTCATCTCTAATCTTGCATTTAAATGCAGTTGGAAGAGGATTGCTAGTATAAAATTAATAAATATTTTTCAATTTGTTTTATAGTTTTATTCAGCCAACATCTGTAAGCATCCTTACAAATTCCAACAATGTGAAATAAACACGTGAAAGCAACTGATAGCCTCAAAAATCATCGTCCATGAATTAATTTGACTTTAGATGAGACAAATGATTCAGTATGAGATTCTCACATTGAAATATCACTGTATTCATTTTATACAGAATTAGAAATGCATGAAAAAACACAAATAAACAAACCAATTCTATTTTTCAGTGACAAAATAATGTAATGCTAGCAGCATTCCTTTAGTGAATGCTTGATCAGTTGTGGCAAAGGATGCATCTGCTGATAAAGAACATGTGAAAAGTTCAGCACTTTCTGCTCAACTTCAATTCAATTTATCAATTGTTAATTTAGTTGATGATTATTTCAATAATCAACTCACTACAGTTAATCTGATTAATTGTTTCAGCCCTGTTCCAAATATTAATAATGTAAAACATTTGCATGTGGCCTGTTGCAGACTCCCCAGCAGCCAACAGGAAGATGCTTGGCGATACCATCTTTTTACAGAACGTCAAAGCCTCTGACAGCGCCGTCTATCAGTGTGAGGCCTCCAACAGACATGGGACCCTTCTGTCCAACGCCAACATCATGATCATGAGTGAGTAAAACAACCTCTACTGAAGAGAATGAGAAAAACAAAAAAATCTCTGCAAAGCTTTTGTGAGGATGTGTCAGACTTCATCTCCGGAGAGCCGACATGCACTCATAGAGCGATGAGGAACCAGAACGATGTCTGCTGGCTGCTTCACTCAGCCTGGCTGCTCTTCCAACAAGAAGCAACATCATTCTGTTCTCCGCCATTTGTATGTTAACAAGTTCAGCCTACATTCTGTGCACATTTCAGCACTATAAGACCAGCACAGGAGTGCAGATAAAACACAGTCCAGTGCTTTCTGTCTCCGTGTGGTGTTTCCGCTCAGTGACACAGGAGTTAATAAAGCCAGACAGCTTCTGAATGCTAGGTCCTGCTTGCTTCTGCTTCACCAAACAAAATGGAGAGACGGAGCATTTTAATGGGGACGCTGTTGCTCAAACTGATGAGGTGCATGTGCTCCACAAACTCATTATTGCATTGTTTTCTGCTTTCGTTTTATGTTCCCATTCGTGACAACCAGACTGCCGAGTCATTTATTTCACTTACACAAAGGAATTTGTAGTTAATACACACGTAGAAGTTCAAATGCTGACACCTGATTTAACCTGCAGTTGCCTTTGCTGTTTTTTTCTAGTGTCTGTGCTTCCTTAAAAAGTCTCAAATTTATGTGTCTAAAATTAAGACCAGGAATGTCTTAAATTCATAAAAATGTCAGTTGGCCTTTAAAACATGAATCACAGATTTTAAAATGTATCATGGCAGAACAATTTAATGTAGTTTTGTTTTCTATATGGGACTTTTCTGTCAGGGAAATATTTCAGTTGCACACAGTTGTTGCATTCCTCGCTAAAAATGATGACAAAAATCTACATTCCTTATTTGCCAGCTAATCAGCCAGCTACATATTTTACCTCTATCATGGGCACAAAGCCCAACCATTGTCCAACTATTCCCAGTATATGTTTTTTTTCTGTCTTAAATGTCATTCAAAAGGTCTTTAAAACCTTACATCCATGTGTCCAAAATGTAGGCCTTAAATTGTCTGAAATTCATTTGAAAAAAAAAAATCTTTCACCTTAAATATGTTAATTACAGTTTGTAAATTTTGGAATGGCAGTATTGTTTGAGTCACACACAAACAACAACTCCAGGCTGACAGTTTTTGTTATGCAACTAGCTCCAATCATCCTGTATATTTAGAGATTTTTTCAGTCTTAAATTTCTTTCAAATTAAAAAAGGTCTTTAAAAGTCTTAAATTTGAGTTACTGAACCCTGCAGACACCCTGGGTTAAAAAGATATCACAACCTTTCAGGTTGTGATATCTGCAACATCTTGATTTGTACACACACAAAAAAGCAACATCTTGATTTGTACACACACAAAAAAAAGCAACATTTTGATTTGTACACACAAAAAAAGCAACATCTTGATTTGTACACACTTTTTGCTCTTTTAAAGATGTTATATTTTGTGGTTTTGTCCTTTTCAGACTTGCAGCCAATGATTCTCACCAGTAACAGGGAGTTTTACTCTGCAGTGGAGGGACAGAGAGTGATGATGCACTGTAAGGTCTTCAGTTCCCCTCCTTCAGCAATCACTTGGTAAGCCCAACACACCAGCAGGGAGCAGCAGAGTCTCAGTAGGTTCATTTGTGTTGAGCCCTACTAGTCATATTCCAGACATTGTTTTAAAACATGCCACTTGCTGTGCAATGGAAAAGTATTGGCACCCCTTAAACATGTCGGTGTTCTGTCACATGACAGCTGCAAACTTGAATGTATTTATTTAACAGACCAGAGTTGTTAGGGTTAAAACCTGTTGAACATACTTAACAAAGACAGAAAAGACAAAAGAGTCAGTATTCTTGCTACTCGCGAGGAGACCGGACATGGATGTGCTTCAGTCACAATCTCCTACCGCTCTGAAGCACATTTGTCCGCTCCTCTCCTTTTATTGTTTTCAGGATCCCTAATCACAAGGGCACTGTAGCTCTAAAAGGAAGGGTAAACAATTCATCACACAGCTACAGTGCCAGTTCTCATTTCTTAACTAAGTGTTAGGGATCTGTGTTTCTTTATCTTTGAAGCAATGAGTCTGTCACCTTGGATGGCCAGGGCAACATCCAGCCTGATAGGAAGAATGGGTCGTTTACATACAACCCAAAGTCTCAGGAACTGAACTTTATGACCCCAGAGACAACAAACAACTGTAACCTCAGGAGATGCAAAGACAGTACCTTGAGAATGTGTATTGTGTTTGTCACTCCTTCTATGCAACACAATTATCTTGTAAGTGATAATCTCCTTCCAGACACATCAAACAGAATAGGTAGTCAATCTTCACACTAACAGTTTTACAGCATTCCAGCAACTCAACAAAACAGAAACATTCTTAATCCTATAATGAGATTAACTTAAAGGAAATAAAATAAATATAAAATAAAGATACATTATAAAGATCAATGAGAATAACAAATATTTGATTAATTATATCACAATTTCTCCAACAAGAGTCTGCAACCTGAAACTTTCACAGCAGCTCTTAGTAACACTGACTTAAAAGGATTGAGTCAACTAATATTTTGAAATAAATTTAATAAAAAGTGCTGGTTTAAACACTTTTTTTCTTATAATAAATTTATATTCTGTGATTGAATCAAATTAAAGAAGACAATGGTATTGTTTTAGATCTATTGTTGTCATTAAATTGAAAACCATATGCTTTTTTTAAATTTTCCTTATATGTTTATTTCAAATGTAACAAGATATGCCAATAATGTGGAGCAGTAAAACTTCTGCAAATATTTTATGTTTTTGTTTATTTTAAAATCTAAAATGGGGTTCTTTAAAAATCACAGTAGATTTTCTGAAGCAGATATTTATCAAAACATTTGTTTTTATTAATTTTTAAAAAATGTCTTTTACCTTTTGCGGCTCTAAATACGTTTTTATGTAGTTTTCCTTTCATTTTGTGAAATGGAAGGAAAAAAACTTTTTTCTTGTTTTTTGTTTTTTTCATTTTTAGCTTTGGAGGAAGACATTTTTTTACAACTAATCATGAAATTAAAAACTTTGGTCCTAAAGGAAACGATGCAATAATAATGATATGATTATATTATTTTTTTAAATATTTTTTTCTTGTTTTTACTTTTTGTCTGTTTGAAATAAGTAAAGAAATATGCATATAATAAAAAAACGACACAGTAATATTGGTCGTAAGACAACAATACAGAAAGGTGGTGATATCAGATCATATCAAAACTTATATAGATTATTTTATAAACTTTAAAATATTATTTCTCCTGGGAAATATGGTGGTGGTAGTATCATGGCATTTGGGTTAGAAGGTCAGAGATGAAAAGGGGAGATGGGGCGGAGCTAAAAATAGGGAAAGAAAGCTGAAAAAGTAATGGTTGTAATGGTTGCAGATAACAACTCCAACCATTACAACAAGAGCGCCAATGTAAAGATTTCCTTGTTTGTGTGTTATTTTATACTTCTATCATGTTCGAAATATATGAATATAGTAAATAAAGCAGATGTCTGTGCTAGAGCGGCACAAAATTTGTGCCAAGTCACAAATTCTCAGACTTAAATCTGAGAATTTGTGACAAGTGAATCTCATAGATCCCCTGTCTAATCTAACTAAACTATTTTGCAAAGATGAATGGACAAAAGGTTGGTAGAGAAAGACCAAGGGGTGGACGATATGGACGTAAAGTTTTACTATGATATTTTGAGGTAGTATTATGATAACAATAAAAGTGAAAGCTGCTTTGGTTAACTGTATGATTTGTAAAATCGACTCAAGCATTGGTTATGGCACAGCAATAATAACTCCACAAATATAAATTCTGCTCTTAATAAAAAAGGGTTTTAAGAAATTTTGAAAATTATTAGAATTTATTGTGACAGAGATAAAATTATCATAATAAATTTATCACAGTAAATGGTAAACCGTAAGATACATGCCCACTACTAAAAACACCTGAAATATCCACTGCATCAAATGCAGTATTGAGTCAGATTTACCAAATGCAAATACATTCTACACTATTCATGTTTGTATTGATAAAAATATTAAACGCCATCATTCCACTTCATACACTGCTTTGTGTGGATCTATGACAGCAAATCCCATAAAAATACAAAATATAGAATTTTGTCTTGGTAACAGGACAAAAAGTCTCAGTTTACAACCACACATGTAAAAGTGTTTCACCTGTATGTGTTTCATCTGTATATTTTCTTACAGATGCCTTTCTTCATATGTATTTGTACTGAAGTTACCTCAGACTGAAACTTTTTCTTTTTCTTCCTGTCCTCAGGAGCAGGGATGTCTCCTCTGAGTCGTTGGTGGGGCCCCGGTTTGCGCTTCATGACGACGGTTCGCTGGAGATCCACTCGACTGAGAAAGATGATGCGGGACAGTACACCTGTTTGGCTAAAAACATGGAGGGTTCATCTGCCATCGACGCTGTGCTCTACATAAAAGGTAAACACTCGTTCCTTTGCAAACGTGGTAGCCGCGGCCCACGGTGTGTGTGCTCTGTAGCTAACTCGTCCTTCCTGTGGAAGATCCCACCAGAATAGTGGTGGCCCCAAAGGACCTGCAGATCTTAAAAGGCAGCGCAGCCCAGCTCTCCTGCCTGGCAGAGTACGACAAGTCCTTCAGCAACGACTTTGAGCTCCTGTGGGAGAAAGATAACACACAGATAGCTCTCAACTATACAGAGAATCCCAGGTAAGACACAGAATTTTGTTTATTTTTAAAACATGGCCGACTTGGTCTCAGCTCAAGTTGTAGTTTTCCTTCTCACAGTGCTTGGAAAAAAATATTCCAACCTTTTGAATATTTTTCACATTTCACAAGCAAACTTTAAGGTATTTCTTGGAGAGTTTTTCTTGGGGACTAACACAAAGTTCAAGAAAAGGAAAGAAAACAATACATATACAAATCTGAAAAGTGTGGTATGAATGATTACTTACATAATTTACTTACTTTTTAATCTTTCTGGACTCTTTTTCTGTCACTTGTCTGGATTTAATGGATTCTGTGTTTTTTGTTACTACTTCTTACACTGAAGCTATGAAGAGTTGAAATTATTTATTTGTAATGAACACATAAGCTTCAGTTTTCACTTCTTCAATTTATGTAACATGAATTCTTTTTATTTTACTTCGTTTTGAATTTCTTTGATTTGCATTAAGAATGTTTATTATTATGTGTGCAATTGAGTGTTTTGGACCAAATAAACTATTTGATCCAAATACACATGCATTTTCCCCCCCTTAATGTTTCTAAAGTGTGTATATAACCACATTTTATTTAAGGTTTCAGAGTTCAGAGGGTGAATGAATAAACATGGCTCACTTTTCAGATTTTTAGTGCTAAAATAATTAAACATCCATCATATTTTGTTCCTTTTTACAATAAAATTATGTGAAGGTGGAAAAGTTGAAAGGGTTTGAATACTGGTTCATTATTGATTTTGTGTCTGGATTTCTGTGAACAGATACATCATGGAGGACGGCTATCTTAACATCAGCGACGTTAACCATGGAGATCAGGGTGTGTACAATTGCGTGGCGAAGACTCCGCTGGACAGAGACACAGCTTCAGCCTTCCTCATGGTGTTAGGTAAGGACATGCTACAGCATTAGCAAACCCCAGAGCTCTGGATTATTGTTTGCGAAGAGATCAGAATATCAGAAAACACAGAGCAGCTGCATGTCTGACAAGACACAGCTGACGCCTCTCGACCAAAAACACATCGTGCCGCTGATTCAGCTCGTTTCACATCCTCTGACTCTCAGGACAACTTGATTGAACATTTGCTGCTTTGGCCTTTCCTTGCTAGCAGAGATTGATGGCCCTATGTGTGATTTTGTTTTGTTCTGTTTGGTCGATTTACAGATGTCCCCGTCGCTCCAGAGAGTTTGGTTTTATCTGAGCACAAGAGTAAAAGCGTAAAGCTGGAGTGGATTCCCGGGGACGACCACAACAGCTCCCCTACAGGTACATGGTGTAAATGCACGTCAAAGCAGCAACGCCTCTTTGACGCCATTCAGTCCAAACGTGAATGGCGTTTGGACTGTTTTTTGCTCATCATCATGCTGCATACATAATAAAATTGTTGGATAAAATCTCAAATCCATTATTGATTCATGCAAACATGAATTGTGGTTTGTGCCCAGAGGAAGAGAGAAGCCAGGTGCACTCCCCTCAACGAAGGATCAGATAAGTGATCCTTTGGAAACGGGACATTTTGATTATGTTTGTGTTTCTCACCAGAATTCGTCATCGAGTTTGAGGAAAACAAGTGGGAGCCAGGAAACTGGAAGGAGCTGCTCCGAGTCCCTGGGAACCACAACTCTGCCATCCTCAGGCTCCATGGTCACATTGAGTATCGCTTCCGTGTTTACGCCATCAGCGCCATCGGAGCGGGGCCACCCAGCGAACCCACGGAGAGATACAAGACCCCCCCGTCAGGTGGGACACGCCCTTCTCTATTATTCCACACTGTGATACGTTCATACATTCCCTGACAACTTTCAGCATCCTTAAGAAGTCTTAAATTAATTTGGCTAGAATGGAGGTCTTAAAATGTCTTTGGTTAATAAAAATCAGGGTCCATACACTTTCCCACAGTAAAAATCAAGCATGTTAAAGGAAAGTTTTCCAACTTTTGCTGCACTAACTTTGATAAAAACAATTCATATGAACTACAGAAGACCGTTTCAAATGAGATGGTTGAAGCTACTGCTAACTAGTAGCTAATAAAACTTTGCTAGCCTGGGTTCACAGTGTTTGTTGTGCTTTCTCTTTATGCAGTGAAGTTCTCCCAACCATTCTGTATATTTCTATTTTTTTTCTGTCTATCCAAGGTGGCATTAAAAAGGTCTTAAAACATCTGAAATGTGACTTGTTGAAACCTGCAGATGTCCTGTTAAAGGGAGCCACTCTTGTTGAAAATCTGCTCTCTTTCATGGCCGACGTCTCCCACTAACAATGCTGACAAAAATCCATATCCTTTCTTTTTTACAGCCCCTGACAAAAACCCAGAAAATATCAAAATCGAAGGTCATTTGCCACATGAAATGAATATCAACTGGGAGGTAAGAAGCAGAGCCTGGCCTTTTATTACCCTGTTACTTCCATATTCTGCAATTCGTCCTACCTCTGCATAGCAAACTTCCCCCACCCCCACGCCTCCTTCTGCTTCAGATCATAGAATTCCTCTCAGCGATCACAGATGAAGTTTTATCAATGTTTCATTTGCAAGCAGCAATAATTTAAGAAGCAGAAACGGTCCATTTCTAATATTTCCACGTTCTGTGGAGATCTGAAGAAAAACCTTCTTATCTGGGATCACTGTGAATATGTTTCTATTGAACGCGGCTCCTTCTCTTTGATTAGAAACCAAAAGAGAAGGCTGTGAAGAGAAAACCTTTTAACACTGGCAGTCATCCATTTGGCTTTTATAGTAGAAAGATGAATCTCTCCTTCACTTATTATCTGCTTGCCATGTCTTGGTAATGTAGCCCCTGATTTGTGGATTTCAGCTCTCCCTCTATTAATGATTTGCTTTTGTGGATAATAGCATCTTATTCTATTTCTCACACTTTTGAGTCCTATGAGGAGATGAGTCTTTTCATCTGCGGCATTAAACAAAACTGACCACGTCTGCGGCTCCATTGTTTTATTACACATTGTGATGAAATTCTCCCACAGAGCCATCGCACACTCCGGGGTTTGACACCAACCGGTAACAAAACAGCAATGAAACTTTTCTATTCTTTCTGTCTCCACCATCCAGCCGCTGCTGCCCATCGAGCACAACGGCCCCGGCCTGGAGTACAAGGTGAGCTACAGGCAGCAGGACGGGCAGGAGGAGTGGACAGAGCACACCGTGAAGAGGCACTCATTTGTGGTGCGAAAAACACCCACCTTCATTCCCTACGAGGTTAAGATCCAGGCCAGGAACAACCAGGGGTGGGGGCCCGAGCCCAGGATTGTGAGCGGATACTCAGGAGAGGACTGTGAGTTTTGATGGAAGCCCCTGTTGTTCATGTTTCAATCTTTGGTGACTTTATGGCACAGGAAGGAGCTGGTTAACAAGGATGCAGTTCAGAGATTTTTTTCTCTTTCCTTTTTAAAGGGACATAATTATGTAAAATCCACTTTTTTAGCTTTATATCAGATTATGTCATTCTCTCATCAAAAAGAAGCACTGTTATGATGATGAGAATAGGAGCTTCTTAAAAAACAGATCAATTTCAAGGCATTAAAGTCAAACTTTTTTTAAAGTGACTTGTGGTTACTTGGTTGTGCTGTAAAGTGGCTTTAAAAAAGATGCAAAAAACATACAAAAAGCATGTAATTTATCCTTTATTCAACAGGAAAATAAAATTGATGATAAAAAATAGTTAGAGATTAGAATTTAGCATTAAATAATCTAGAATAAATTGAAGAAAATCATCCTCAGGACCACTGCCATGTTTCACTGGGAGCCAGAACAGACTCCTCTAACACTAAACTCTGCTCAAAGATTAAACACATCATGAAGAAGATGTTGCTTAGACTATCTGCTCATGTATCACTCTTTGTTTCAAATCTCATTTCACACAATTTTTACATTAACAAGACACAAAATTAAAGAAAATAGAACATCCTGACACTTAGCTGAGAAATGGTTGTTTCATAAAATAAAATAAAATGATGTGAGAATTGAGTTTGTACAGTTTGGACTAGAGAAGAAAATGGAGGAAAAAACTGTAATTAAGTCTTAAGCTCGTTACATTAAGCTGAATGTTTTTAATCATAAAATCAGATATTTTAGATGAACAGACTTCACAGATCCAGACAAGAAACGTAAAAAATCCAGCCCATCTTATTTATTACTTCCATTTTTGCAGTGTATGCATAGTATGTTGGAGTTTGAAGGGAGCATCTTCACATTTCTGAGCATTTTCTGCTGCACTGTTGTAGTCCAAAAAAAATCAACTCAGGCATTGGTTGAAAGTAAACTAGTTATGTACCATAAAAAATGACTTCCACTCCTTAGAGCAGAGGTTCATATCCTGTTTTCATCCTGCTCTGTTTTTTTTTTTGTGTAAATGTTGTTTTTTGCTTATTTTAATAGAATTATGTGAACTGTGCTCTGCCCTGTCAATTCTTTGGTGACACTTTTGGCTTTTTTTTGTTACTTATCTTAGGACAGAGGGTGAAGTTTAGCTATTCTGCTATTTCCTGCATACTGACATTGCCGTAAATTGTGGTAATGTAGATTAATCTGCACTATTCTAACAAAGTAAAATAAAATTGAGTTAAATAAGTGCACATTATTAACTTGAACACATCACCCCCACTGTGAAACATAGTGCTGGAGATACTTCTCTTCTTCATGTGGAGAAGAGAAGTATCTCTTGTGGATAGAGAAGAGGCAGATTGTTTCAGTTTCGGACCTAATCTTGATTTAATGTTCAGGTACAGCTTGGCTCTAGGGTATTAAGTGGGGGTAAGTTGTGGATGGAGTTGGGGGGGGTGTAGTGAATGACTTCCTCTGAGGCTTAAAACTAGGAGTCACACAAACCTGTGCTTCCTGTGTTCAGCCTTCTTCTGGACTTGTCCTCTGGAGGTCATCTCAGGTCATGACTCCTCCTTAGTGTCGTGTGTTGTCATTCATGTAGCACTAGCTCATTAGCCTAACCTTGTAGGTCCGTTTTTTTTTATAGATATCCATGAGAGAAGATTTGTGAATCATAAGTGTGTTTTGTTTTTGGAGATAATTAGGTTTTCTTAGAAAAGCTGCTGTTCCTCAAACTGTTACTGATTTTGTGTATTTGCCTCTGCAGTTCCCTCTGCTGCACCTGACAACGTAGCTGTGGAGGTGATGAACAGCTCAGCGGTCAGAGTGACCTGGACACGTGTCCACAAGGACAAGCTCCATGGACATCTGGGAGGCTACAGGGTAATGCCTCAGAAAACATGGCTTTGCTTTCAGACGCAGCTTAAGAGGAGCGGCCACAACCTCGCTGCTCCCAACATGTGTATAACGTAGAAACTGCCTGTCCTCTGCTTCAGATAAACTGGTGGCGCCTGCGCAGCCTGGTGGACTCGAAGAAAAGCCACGGAGACAAACACTCTCTGGCGTTCCCCGGGGATCGGACCCATGGTACTGTGCCGGGCCTGACACCCTTCTCTGAGTACAGCCTCATTGTCATGACCTTCAACGGGCGAGGCAACGGTCCGGGCAGCCAGCCGGTCAACTTCAAAACCCCAGAGGGAGGTAGGCTTGTGGAAAAGCAGCATGAGGCGCATTGATTCACTGCCTCTGAAGGAAACATCCAATAATAACCAAGAAAGTAGGTTACTGCTGCCGACAGTGCTTATTGTGTGTGTTTGTTCTCCGTCCCACAGTCCCAGAGAAAAACCCAGTTTTGAGGGTCACAGATGTAAAGAGGAACTCTGTGTCTCTGGCCTGGGCCCCTCCTTTGGAGCCCAATGGGATTCTAACAGGATATCTACTGGAGTACCAGCTCAGTATGTATTGCTCAGGAAAATGACATGCTTTCTTTTTGTGCTTCCACCACAAGGATTATAAATATAAGTGCATAAATATTTAAGTATTTACGGTTTGGGGACAGTAACAATATCATGAGCCTAGTATAAAACAAGTGAGATTTTTATGCTTAGTTTATGCTTCTTTTGTTACATGAGACTAAGTTTAGGCCAGTATGGGATTCTCACTGGCTGCGTTTCCATTGACTACCTTGACATTTTGAATTTAAACTTGCTGAATGAACACATGCCGGTTTCAAAAAAACTTGTTTTCAATACGAAGACTGATAACAAAGAAGAAAGATCAGATGCACAGGGGTACTTTCTATGTTAATGAAGAGCAAAAAGTCAACAGCAGAAGAGGCAGAACAGTTAGTTATTGGCAGCATTATCTCAGCCAGGAAGGCACCACAACTCAACAGAATGCTAGACCAAGTGGAGCTTCAATGTGAAAAAAAAATAACAGGGACAACATAAACCAAACAGCAAATAATGTAAATTGGAGAGTAGTCAAAGAAGAAAGTGATGAAAAATGGTCAGTGTGTCCTCCAGCCAAAGCCTGTGGCAGCATCAGTGCAGAAATGGGTCAGGATAACTTAAGCTAGTCTAACTAAAAGCTTTATAAAAAATCTAACTTTTAGACCTACTTTCAAAAGTTGACATCAATTTGACATAATTTTTGCTTGATTTTCAGGATCACAAATTGGCTTTTTTCCACATTTATCAAACTTTGTTAGATACAAATGTTTTCAAAGAAAACACTTTATTGTGATGACAATATACTATTGTCATCACTAATAACATATAAAAAAAAATCTGCCCACACACTTACAAATTAGAAACCTTTCTTTTGTTCAAGATAACAAACCATTTTATGGTTTAGAAGCTGGTTCTTTTTAGGAAATACAAAATAAATAAATAGAAGTTTTGAAACCAGAACCTTTAAAATGTTGTTATACCATCAGACCAAAACTCGATCCAGCCTAAATTAGAATATAGATGTATAGTTTTGGACATTGGCTTTAAGAGGGATGTCTGAAAAGACAGTAGGTGAGTTTCTAGCCTGATGTTGATGATTGTGCATGCAGCCCTTGATCTTGAACAGAAAAACATATTCACATGTTGAGCAGGACAGGTGTTTTGCATCACAGTCATGAGCATTTCTGGCTCAGTCTATTAGAATCTGTTTAGCTTGCAGTTCTTGAGGACGTTATCCAGACACATCACATGTCCAAATGATTTGCTGATCTTAAACCGAAGTCATAACAAAGGTAATGTCCAACTTCTAATAACATCGTGGTGCAACATTTCCCCGGCTAATTGGATCTGATTTGGTCACTGCGCAGGAGCGCCGGGCATCAGGCGGCATTTCACGAAAGGACTTTTCTGGTGCTGTGCTACAGCAATTACGCTGATAGGCTCTCTGAAGTGTGACTTTTTGTTGAAGTCCCCTTGACAGACGTCATGTGCGAAACATTGAGGATAATGCAGCCAGCTGTTGGGAGTATCATCAGTGACACAAGTGGAGTCTCAAGCTCCAGCGCATCTGTTCAGCAATAATATCAGCTCCTACAGGTTTCCGAGGAACGTCTGCTGTGACACTTTTCAGAGTCTGCAACAGGATTTGAATCCCTGACAAATTTTCTTGAAGTAGTTTAATTCTTAAAGTTGTCTTGAGAGCATCATTCCAGACATTGAACTGGTGACAGAATTGCTCATTAAACTACAATGAAATTAATTTATTGTTATATAAGTAAATACACCCCTCATTTTTCTACAGATCTTGTGCTGCATCATTATAATATGTCCACACCACATTTTTACCCATCTACTGTTTCTTGTTTTTTGTTTTTCACTGTACAAGCCACATGTCATAGAAAATACAGTTATCTTTTATCTAACAAGGTCCTTTCACTGGCAAAGTCAATTTTAAGGAGTCCTTTTTTCAGATTTCCACTGAAAACACATTTTTTGCTTAATTCTTTATTTCAAAGTATCATTTGGGTTTAAAATGCAGCACTGCTGAATGTATCATTCATTTTTATTTGCAGCTTTTGTGTTTGTTCAGATGGGGTTGAGGCAAAATATGAACACTTCAAACCAGTGTAGTGTAGCTTTCACTGTTCTGTACTGAAATATTGTTCTAAGTGGGAATCGAAAACAACGTTTGCTTTGGCTCATTCTGTGTAGCAAAATCCTGGCTTGTTTCACACTTCATAAAGCCAACCGTGTTTGGCGCCGACTGAAGAATATTTGGACTTGCTGTTGTTTGTCACGAGTGTGCGAGCCAGAGTCTGCAGCCTTTCGCCAGTTCACTGTACAAGATAGAGAACACAAGCTGGCAGGCCACAGGGTTTCTGAGAAAGTTACAACATAAAGCATTAGCAAGATGGAAACGTCTGGCTGGTGGCCTTTTTTTCTCTCTGCTCCAGTGTGGCTTGCATAATTTGCCAAAAAGACAATTTCATCCCTTGAAAGAAAACCCAACAAGAATCACAATTTTTACTGAGGTGGAAGAAATTCACACTGAAGCATTCATGTCAGCATTTCTGTTGCTCTTAATGTGAGGAAAAACATTGCACCTATTCCACAGCAAAGGTCACCTTAAAACCTGATGAGTCTGTTTTTGTTACTGAGAACACGAATGTCATCTTCTTGCGTAGCAGGCTGCCTTAGAGTCTGAAAAATGAGACGCAATCGGAAAGTAAACATCAAAAACACAAAGACGATTGAGTTTTAAATGAACACTAGGGAACATACTGAGCTCACTTTTTATAAAGAAAGAAGAGGTGCATTATCTACCTGTTTCTTTGTGAGCTTTTATCAACTGAAGAACATTAAGTCTCAAAACTCCCTGAAAATCTTGGTTTAAAGTTTTTCATACCAGCACATTTTCTACTTGATGTTCCTGCAGGTGAAACCTTCCAATTTTTTGTTAGTCAGTAAATTGGATAGTTATAACTGGATGTTCTACCATAATTAAAGCTGTATTTTCTTTAATTTCTTTAGTTAACGACACAGAGGAAGTTGGGCCTTTGCAGGCTGTGAACATCAGCAACCCTGACACCACCAAGTGGATCCTGCATGAATTAGAGCCTCTGAGCAAATACAAGTTGTATCTTCGCTCCTGCACTGTGGTTGGCTGTGGGCCCGTTGTCAGCGAGGAGAGCACCACCGCCCTGGAAACAAGTGAGTGACAGTTTGGACTGTAGCTGCATTTCCATTACAAATGTGGGCAAAACTTTGATATTCTGCAAATGTTGAAAAGACATAATTTTGCACTTGTGGTGTTTCTATTCAATAGGAAACACAATTAAAATCACACATGAATAAGTTTGTGATAAGTCAAAACAAGTTTCCATTTCAGTTTTGTGAAATACACCACCTCGTTCTAGAGCAAAAGCTTCTTCTTGAAAGATGAGCAATTTTTAATATTTCTGTGTTCCCACTAAGCAAATTTATTTTCATAACTCCAAGTTGCGCAATTTTCAATTTAATGGTCAAAAGCACTGCAGGTAATGTCCACTAAGAGGGTGGCAGAGATTAGTGTATTCTCCTCTGTGAGGCATTCATAGACCAGACCACCTGTTCATGAAAATATCTTTCCCTTTGTCACCATGACAACGCAGGATAAGAAATAAAACAATAAAACGATCATCTGAAAGAGGGCTTTACATTTAGAACCGTAAAATGAACTGTCACAAGGAGATGATGTGTTGGAATTAATTACCAGCTAGTTTGTAGCTTCTAATCTTTTCAAATGCATACTTGACTTCAGAAAGCCAGTTTTATTTACCTACATACCTGTTAACACTGCTAATTGCTGGATGGCTTTTTTTTTTCTTTATCCAACTGCAAAACCAAGAAATTGGCAGAAACTGGCTCATTATGCAACAAAAATACTCGGTGTCTACAGACAAAGTCTTCATAATCACAGAAATACACTTAATTGGCTTTTGTTTATTTGTAAGCTGAAAAGCCAGTGGAAATGATTAAGGGAGGATGACTCACTTTTGTCATGACGTTACTTGTAATTTTGCTGGGTGGCTTTGTGCGTGTTGGAGGGAGACTGAAAGCCTTTTGTGGCAAACATGCTTTCAGTCTGCGCTCCGAACATGTCTGTGTTGTTTCTGCTAATGGTGCTCTGTCTACACTCTCATACGCCACTAAATAGTGCATTACTTTCTGATTTTGCTTTGATCATGACAGCGTGTGTTGTGAATTTGTATGTGAAGGTGTGTCTCTCCTTGGCCATGCAATGTCATGTCTGTCTCCTCTTCCTTTCATTTTTGTTCTTTGGTTCTGTTTTCTTGCAGCTTCTTCTTTGGCTCCTACTATTGGCATCAGTATGAGGATCTATGTTTATGTAGAAAGCAGGGCGTCTTACCAACACGCACTCTGTTTGTAACTTTATGCAATTTACAATGGTATTCATGTGTTTTCATTTTACAACCGCAGACTTCAACATATTTTACTGGATTTTAATTCGAAGGCTAAGACATAGTAGAACAAAATTAGACCTGTGATTTTTAAACATTTTTGTTGATAAAATTTTGAAAAGTGTGCATTTCTCAGGCCCTCCAGTTTTTCACAATTCTGCAAACAAAGAAATTCACGTGAAGGCAACAGAATCCTTCATTTTTCACACTAATGCATAATTATTAGTTTTTTGCTAACTTTCCACAAAACACTGGGTTTAAGTGACTGCTAACACCTGCAGGTGAGAATATTTTTTTATTTCTTCTTATGGATTGTGTTAATTGAATATTTTTCAACTTTGACTGAATTTTTAAACAATGACAGAAAACTCTGAAGGCATCTGTCATTTTGACGGATTATAATTGGCACTTCTGACCAATTGGTGCACAAACACAAACATTTGCAACTTCTGGAAGTTATGGACAGGAGCTCCGGTGCAGCTGAGCCAGTGATGAGGGCAGAGTTCACGCCACAGGATTTCCTCCAGCTGCTCCTCGTTCAGAGTCTTGCTGACTTCTGATCACTTTATTTAGAGAAAAGTTCCCTGTGTTCAAAATGCTGGTTGAGTTGTGGCTTGTAATTCCAGTCCAGTATTGCATTAGACTGCGGTTTTAACCTCCCGATCAACATCAAAACTCTGAAACATTTAATTATCACAAGGGAAGGAGAATTAACATCAATTTACTCTGTTTCCTTCTTGCAGACTTCGGAGAGGGTTTAATGAGAAAAAATTGTCGCAAGATTTCTTCCAAATATCTGTAAAATAGCAGAGCAAAATCAGTGGTTTTGATTGAAATAAAACAGAAAAATATCTGAGTGACTAATTTCTATTCAATCTCACTAATCGCAACTTTGTAAATCAGTCATTTGCTGCGATTCCAACTGTAAGTCGTTTGGGGTCTGTTTGGTCTAAAGACAGATTTGTTTTAGATGTTCTTTTATTTATGTTTTTTAATTGCTGTGGATCTATTAGACTGGGTGGAGTGGTCATTCCAACACATTAACAGGTTTTGATCTAATCATTTACATGGTCACTGCATCTATGGAGTTGTTCTCCTGCAGCGAGCTTCAACTCATTGTCATGTCTTTACAGTCATTAAAAAGGCTTTCTTCAAGAACTGCCTTGAAGTTAGCTGCAGCCATTTTATTATCACCTTTGTCTGACTTTCTTGTTCCTACTGAAAAATCGCATTCCCCACAGCATGATACAGCCGCCACAATTTTTCACACATAGGATTTTGTACCATGCACCTGTCTGCTGTGCTCCTGTGATGCTTTTTGTTCTCTAACGTTCTCTAACAAATCTCTGCTATTTATACTTTTTATATAATTGCTCAGGTGATTTCTGAAGGCAGTTTGGACAATAATTGATTAAGTGACTGTAAGCTGAACAGGGCCAAATATAAAGCCGAGCAGACGTTTTTGGAATTGTATGTGTTAAAATTTATTATTTCCATCTTCTTCTTTATGGTCATGTTCCACATAAATGTTCACATAAATTCCCACTAAAATGGTCTGAAGTTTGAGGTTGTAATGTGGTGCAACACTCCCACTTCCCCAGGTTCTGTCTGAATTTCAGAATGGTGTTTGTTGGGAGTCGTCCTGTGATGTACATAGCAGTTGCATGTTTTAGCCATAGCAGGGCAGACATCAGTGCATGCTGTAGGCCTCAGTTCCAACCAACAGCAGGTGTTTTATTTGTCTGATGTTCCAGCTCGCCTGCAGATGATTGACCCTCTGTTGTTTGCAGAGAACCCTCGGTGCCTCCTTTCATTAGAAAAATGTCAACTTCCTCCCACTAAAAGTTTGTGGCTTCCTCTCTAATAACAGTGCTAATGAGTAAGATGATTATAAACTCCTATTAATCGTCTCCTATTAGCACCTGTAAATGAATGTTGACTTTTTATCCTAGCATCAGCAGCCTCAGTGCTTCATGTCAAAACTCTAGCTAGGGTAATAAATTATGCTTTGTGTAATTTGTACTGCCTTGTGTTTGGAAACTAGTGGAGCTCTTTTGTAGATGTGTCGTCACTAATTTTAGCCCAGGATAGCGTAATGCTAACAATAGAAAGTAGCTGTTGTTAGCTTTGTTTCTGGTAACCACAAAATGTGTTTTTCTTTTAGGAAAGTCTCTCTCAACGACGACCACTCCAAAGTCACATGTGACCAAACCCACACGTCCCAACATAGGTATAGCAGCAGCTCTGATACGAACAGCAAGAAAACACGTAAAAATGCTGACAAAGCTTTTTGTAAAATCAACCCAACTCACTAAAGAATATGACAAATTGTTTCTCTTTCTTTCTTTGGGTTTATTTCAAATATAATGGACAAAGATGACAATAAAGAGAGAAAGGTGAGGAAAAAGTATAAAAAGAAAGAAAGCAGAAGATAGAAAGAAGCTTAGAGAAAGCACAAGTCAACACACTAGAAGTCTGCGTCTAAACCTACAGAAAGAGAAAAAACAAAATAGAGGAACCACAACAACAAACATATGCATATATAATAATAACAATTATAGCATCACTGAAAAGTACACGGCTTAAGTTCATACAAGATGCAATTAGTGGCAACTGCAGCCCAATACATAGTGCAAATGACAAACACCTGAGTCTAAACATAGATATTGTGACATACACACTTTAACACACAAATATCATCATTGCAATAAAATGTGTGTGTTATTCATATCGCAAAGGATTGTTTGGATTGCAGTGATTGTTGGCTCTTGTTTTTTTAAGAATTCTGAAGTTGTATTTTTTATGCTGATGCTATATTTGGTCAGAAGGAAAGTGCAAAAGCTCACATCAGACACAAATGATATCACCAAAAATGCTAATGGTCACACAATGTCAAATAGTCAAAAAGAAAACAGGCGTGTGTCACAGCTGATATTGCATAGTTTCATGAATCAATTAAATATTGTGTTTTGTTATGTTTTCAAATCCCTATAATGTTTACAGAAAATGAACTGAATTAACCAATGCAGTGGTTAATTCAGTTCCTGGTTTCCATTGAAATTAGAAGAAATTTGCATCTTGATTTCATAATTGAACCATAATGTTTACAGTTAATAGAGACAATATTATTTTTTACTCTTTAATTATAAAAATATATGTTTTGACTTCATAACATTATTTCTTATTTCACTGATCTTTATTTTAAATTCTGAAGACATTTATAGTTCATTCAACATTTACAGTTTTATATCTAGAAATAACCAGCATATAAGCATTTTCTTTTACACTTAATCATTAAAATAATGTGATATAATTTTTTTGACAATACTGATTAGAAAGATCCTGTTTGCCTTATATTTTTAAATCAGCTGATCAGACTATTTGGTCGACCTCTTGTGATGTCATTAACAAATCACGCAAAAAGTATTAGCTTTTTTATTTATTCTTCTTTTATAGATTTTGTGAACTGCTAGAAAACTTCTCGAAAGCCTTACTTTTTTATTCAGCTATTGTATTATAGTTAGTAGAAAAAGTTAACCACTTGAAAGAATCTTTAAAGTAAAACAAACATGTAAAACTAAATACAATTTGAGTTGCACATTTTCCAGTAGCACTTTATAATAACTACACTTTATTTAACCTTATTTAACCATTAATAGATAGTTAATTAACCTTGAAAACATCAAGGATAATTCATACTTATTAAGCAATAAATTAAGCTGTGACTAATTGCTCCCAAAACAAACATACTTAATATATATTCATGTTTAATAAGTCATGAAATAACTATTCTATGTACTGTGTGCGTATTTTTAGGCAAAAAATATTGGACAGCAGTAAAGTATATTTACATGGTCACAAAGTATTCACAGACTCATTTAACTAACTACTAATAACTGCCTTTATTATGGAGGTACTGCAGGATTAATATGTAGCCAGTTCAAACATTTCTTAATTGTTGATACATGTTAACACATGTGAAAGTACATTTATTTGAGCATTTGCAAACATTTACACACAGTAAGTAGAATAGCTAATTAGTGTTATTGTGCATGTATAGACATTGAGTATGTTGTCTTTGGTAGTAATTAGTCATTATGGGGAAAGCATTTATACATGTTTTCATTTATAGCTTGTTAAATCTGAATCATCCTTAATTAATTAATGTTTTGATTAACTATTATTGGTTAAATAAGGCTACTTTAAGTACATCAAGGTTTACTTGTGCTACCCATTTTCCTAGAACGGCCACGGGACCCGTTTGGTCTGCAGAGCAACATGAAGCTGAAGCCACCAGCTGTTTCTCTTACTGTTGCCGTAAATTAATATCTTGGCAACACCGTAGGGAAATCTAGGGCATCAGATCCATATTGTGAGCCGGCAGTGTGACTGCAGAGAGGAGTCACTTGAATGGGACTAATACGTCTAATTGTAAGTGATTGATTTGTTGTGCCCCGGCGCCGCCTGTACATGGCAATAGATTGACCCGAGAGCCACCGGAGATTTCCATGAAATCTTCAAGTGAGTAAACAGCCACACAGCTCGAATGAGTAGAAGAAGAAAGAAGAAAGAGAGGAAAACTCATACTGATGTTTGAACAACCATAAGTGGAAGCTGATGAAAGCACCTATATCAGAATATTTCACAGCTTTGCCTTTGTGACTTTGAAGGGCCATCTTCTCTCCTGGCTTCCCTGCTGGCTGAGCAGCTGCTCTGTGCTCCGTTTAATAGCAGGCTGAGGAAAGAGGTGACAAAAACACGACTGTATTTTTAGTCATCTGCCCGTTTCAGCGGTTTGAATTACCGTGGTTGCACGCTAATCTATCTGCATTAGCCAGAGAGACAGAGTGTCACGCCGTGGTTAGGGAACGGACAGGCCCGGCTCAGGTGTGTTTGTGAACTAAATTATTACCTGGAAAAAAACCCCGAAAGAAACCGAAGCGAGGCACCTGAGCTGGAGATAGGGAGGAAGATTTGCATGTTTGCTTTGTTGGGGGGAGAGAGGCGGATGGTGCTTTGTTCACCCGAAGGCTTAGAAAGATCCTGTTTGTCAAACTGATGATGGAAATCACAACACAACTTGAGAAAACTGCAGAGAAAAGTTCAAATATTAATACATCAGCTTGGACAACACTTTTTGAAATGTGACCATTTAGACAAGAACATAAACTGTATACAGTCTGATAGAAAAACACATGCATGATACTAACTCTCTCCTCTCCTCTCCTCTCCTCTCCTCTCCTCTCCTCTCCTCTCCTCTCCTCTCCTCTCCTCTCCTCTCCTCTCCTCTCCTCTCCTCTCCTCTCCTCTCCTCTCCTCTCCTCTCCTCCTCTCCTCTCCTCTCCTCCTCTCCTCTCCTCTCCTCTCCTCCCCTCCCCTCCCCTGTTTTGTCTTGTCACTCCATCATTCCTGGTCCTGTGTAATGTCAGCTCAGCTGTTAGCAGCAGCTCTGTTAATATCAGCTGGATTCCTGCAGGTTTTCTGTTGCATGTCTGAAAGCTTTAGGTTCTTCTCTCCTCAGTTCTGGTTCCAGCAGTAACATCTGCAGTGCCTTGAAAAATTATGAATGTCCACATGCCTGTTCGAATGAACAGGCATGTGGACTTTACAACCACAGACTTAATGTATTTCATTGGAAGTTTGTGTTTGATTTTTTTTTTCTGACAGATAAAATCTGATAAGTGTGGCATGCACTTGCTTTTCTAATTTAGTGCAGCCAAATGCCTTCAAAAATGAAAATGTATTTATTTTTAATTAAATCCAGTGAGTTATTCAGACAAAATTGTTATTTAATAAACAAAATAAATCTGTGAATTATTTTTATCTGAGTACAAAGCAGTCCCTCAAAGACTTTCTGATTGTTTGATTTGTTTTATTCAAAATCAATTTAGATTGTGATGCTACTTTAGAAACATTTGTGAGCAGTTCAGTGATGTTTTTCTCTCATTAAGTCCTTTTCTAAATTCTGCACTTACATGACTAAAGATGAGAAAAAATAATCAGACAGATGGGACTCAAACATTTTAATTCTTAAAAGCACAGCTCCATTTTTGCTAATTGTCACATCAATCACAGACTAAATGAAGACATAAGAATTCCTGCCACCTGCAGTTGGGAGTTATTTAAATTAGTAAATTAAATTTAATGTTTTAATCATTTTTAGGCAAAAAATATTGGACAGCAGTAAAATATATTTACATGGTCAAAGTAGAGGGTAGAAGCATAAACTTATTTTTACACCCACCTCTCTTACAACAATAGTATCACCCAATAAATTACTATTCAGGTTAACTTGGTTATAACATTCTTTTTTAGTTAGTATTTTCTACATCCATATCCTGCTGCAATGCATTCATATTTTCATGCCTTTATGAGCAAGCATCAGTCATTTTGAAAATTGAAAGTAAAATTATTTCTGTAGAAGACTGGAAACTGGAGTTTCTCCTTCCAGCTGGACACATGCATAACCTGAGCTCCAGTAGAATGAGTTGGATGAAAAAGGTCTAATCAAAGTCCAAATCTAAATATAATGAATTTGTTCCAAAACTGAAAACTAGATCTTTCATCAATTTAATTCATGCTCCTGTTTTTCAGTTTTTATTTCGAAGTATAGGTGAAGGTCACTGGAGGACAACCTGAGCCTTAAAACTCTTCTCTCACTGTTCATTGGGACTCAAACCCGAGACTGAATACAGCCGGCTTGATAATGCTGGTATGTTTGAAGAGGTTATCACAAGCAGGGCTAAAGGTGAGGAGGGGAAAAAAAAGTTATTGACCTGCTGATGAGGAGAGCACAGCCACGTCCTTGAAGCGACATGGCGACGTGGCAGTCCTTCACACCGTCACTAGAATTCCATTTAGCTCACGAAGAGGAATTACATTTGTTCAGCGTTCCCCGCTTGATTAATTAGACAAGCAGGATTAGCTGTTTAATATTAATACTGGAGCGTTTCCATCATTGCCTCGGTCCGAGCATCAGATTAGCTTGGTCGATGTAAACATTCAATCAAGTGTCCGATGCAAAGGCCAAGGCCAGTCAAAGTCGCGGCATCTTGTCCTCCACAGGCCTGGCCAGCGTCCATGGAGGAATCTCCACCCAGGGCTGGTTTATCGGCCTCATGTCTGCCATCGCTCTGCTCACACTCATCGTGTTGATTGCCTGCTTTGTCAACAGAAATAAAGGAGGAAAGTATTCCGGTAGGCACACACGCACACACACACACGCACACACCCACACACGCACACACACACACACACACACACACACACACGCACGCACGCACACACACACACACACACACACACACCCCTATTCCCTTGTTTGAATACTAATTGTTGCCTAAAGCATCATTTTAATTCCATATTGTTGTTTGTTCAAGCAAGAGAGGTGATCAATCATCAGACGATGTACTTCCACACCACACAGTCATTTACTGCAGCAGTAGACAGAACAGGCTGCTGCTGTGTTTGCTCCACAACACGGCGTGGCACGTTTATCTAATTCTGTGCATGAGGTCACTTCATAAAGAGTGACGGCCTGAGTTGGGCCTGCCTGACAGTTTGTTGTTCTCCTCATCAGAGGAAGCAGAAATATCATCAGCGTCATTATTCACAGCTAATGGCCATGAGGGGCAGGGAGAACAACCACACACAGATCTGTGTTTCCTCATTTAACTTTCATTATCACTGACAGATAGTGGCTGCTTTTCATAGGGTTCATGTGGGCTCACCACCCCGGGAGTCATGGCCTGGGGGACGACACAGGTTCACACGTGTCCCTCCCTGTTCTACTCAGTGTAAAAGTTTGGGGTTGAGAACTAATATTGACATGTGATGTCACAGGTTAGGTTGCTCCTTTGTGCTAAATTAAAGGAGTACTACACAGTTTTCACAGAATTAAATATGTACTGATGAGAAGCTCAAATTGGTGCTGAACTTTGTGTTGTACAAAAACATCCACCCTTTTATTCAATGGATGGATGGACGGATAGTTAGAAACTTCTCCAGTAACTGTTGCACTGGAGTTCATACAATAATTAGCATTTTTACTGTTGACATTTACAGAGAGCATACAAACTATTTACAGTCCAGAGTTTTCTTTTCATTAAGCTCTGAATTGTGATTGAAATCTTTTCCTAAATGCTGTCATTGATGTTTTAAGTGGGAAAATGACTGCAGATAATTGGGAGCAGTCAGGCGACTCTTCTGGGTGCAGCAGCGGCCGTCTGTCTGTCTCCTCTCAGTTCTTTTCATCACTTTGTGTGCAGTGAAAGAAAAAGAAGACCTTCATCCAGACGTGGAGTCCCAGGGCATGAATGATGACACATTCTGTGAATACAGGTAAGCGCTCCCTCCACCCTCCCCATGAGGACAGCGTCTCACCGCGTCACTGCATCCCTCTTCCTTTTCTCCATCTTCTCCTCGCTAAATTCTCTCTGCCTTTTTTTGCTCTCGCCGAAAAGACGGCCCAGATTCCATGAGGCTCCCGCAGAGCCTCGCTCCTCTCCTGCTGGAGACGTTAGACGGGCCGAGTAACCGTGAAGTACGTGATAACCGGTTCACATGTGGATGTGGTCAGAGTAGCTGCTTTTAGACCCAGTGTTGTGTTGGTGTGTGGTGAACAGTTCTGCTCTGATGTCACAATTTTCTGCTCACTGCTGAAGCCTCAAACCAATCAGAGTCATTGAATGTCCCTCATCTCCTGGGCAGTAAAATCAGGGCATGTGTCATTGGTCCTTTAGTGGTTCTATTCATAACCGTCTGCCACAGCATGAGTCCCAGTCTAATTCTCCAATTAATGGGATCCTCACTGCTAAACAAATGCTGATGTGATGAGGTTAAAGTGGCTCAGTGTGGCAGCAGTTAGATTTCATCATGTTCACTTCAGGAGCCTGTTGCCCTCAATGTTTAAAAAGGTTTCTACAAAATGCTATCAAGTTCAAATTATTGACTAATAATCATTTAGAGTTGTTAAATTCAGTCAAAAATGCTTAATTTCACCAAAAAAGAGCTTAAGTTTTGTAAAATGTCTTGCAGTGAGGCTTTTTGGAGGTATTACAAGTAATAGTTTTCTACTGAAGCTTAAAGCTGCAGTATGAAGCTTTAACAGAAGTATGATTTTTAACATTTGTTAAAAATGTCACCATGTTGTGGAAGAATGAGACAGATAATCTATGAAAATATATGAATGAATCTATGAAAAGATGCATCTCCTTCACCTCCTGCCTGAGCTGCTATTGCCATCTGAAGAAATGCACACATTCAAAAACAACCAGAGCCAGTAGGAGGAGCTTAATGCTTCTTTATATATACACTTCCAAATATGTTAATGGCAAAGAAACAACTTACAATTGCAGAAAAATTGTTCATCCACCGTCACTAGAAAGACAATTGATAAGCTAGTTAGCATTGACTAACAAAAGCTAAAGCTAACTAGTCTTACATTCATGGCAGGCTAGCTGTCAGGAAGGAGCAGTAGCAGAGCAGAGAGCATAGGGAGGGTGGGGGTGTGAGTGGTGCTACTGATAATAACACCAAAAAAATGAACATACCAAAAGGGAAAAACACTAGCATGCATAGTAGGAAGTCTTGTTCCATAATACCTCTTTATATTCTGGATGATCCTATCAAGAATAAGATTATTCAAAAAATGAAAATTAAAAAAAATGAAAATGTTAAATTACTAGAAGATACAGGAATATCAAGGTACTGCATTTAATAATGTACAGGGTCGTCTTTAATCTGCAGTAATACTGTGAAGCCTCCTGCTGGCTCTGAGTGGTTGTTTCTGATGTAGCAGTGTATTTGTTCAGATGACAGAGTTTCTTTTCACAGATGATGTGTGTTATATTATACTGTCACAACATAATGATAATTTTAACAAAAATGCAAAAAAAACAACATTTTCCATAAAAGTAAGATATTGCAGCTTTATGTCATATGGCAGAGAGTATGAAGTAAAGTGAAAGAATCCTCCTCATGAGTAAAAAGCTGACAGCCAATAAGATAAACTGCAGTTTTAACCATTTGAAGCAACACTGATCATCATCTGTACATGGAATACTACAGATGATGTATATAATATAATATATTATACTATACTAAACTTCTATAATTACACAACAGATTCCATTTATTGCATTAGCCGTTAGTCTTAGCCTTCTGGATTAATTTACAAACTCACTGTGATATACAGTAACATACTTCTACAGGTAAGAGAACTGCTACTGATAATACCACCAAATACTCTGAAATGAAAGCAGACAAGGTTCAAAATATTTGGCCCCATTTTTGCTGAAAGCCAAATAAGATTGATACTACTCTGTAAGGACATAGCAGCAGTCAGCTTGTTTATCTTAGCATAGCCTTTTTGAGTCATGACTGTAAATCATAGTTGTGAATGTAGTTCTGTGTTTAGATTCACTAGTGCTGTTTGCCTTGTTGGTTTAGAGTTTGTTGCTGTATTTGCTGTGAATCCTGAGGTAAAAACCACTTTATCTACCTGGGCCACAAGTATTTTCTTATTTTTACTATTTTGTGCTGTAGTCCATGTTAACAATCACATATTATCTCATGATGTGATATAATGTTCCTTTAAGGATGGGTCAGAATGAGATTCTGTGGCATTATGCCAAGAACCAAAGTCTCTGTATTACATACATACAGATTACTCTGGCTAGTGACAGATCTGCCAGTTTGCAGATATTTTTGTAGAACATTTTTTTTATGTTCCAGAGAACTTAGAAACCATTTCAAATTTTTCATGAAAAATTCACCTATTTGTGAATTTGTTTATAGCTTGAGAAGCTGAAGTAGCTGGGCACAATGCTACTGGGCAAACCAATGACTGGTGTTAGCCAAACAGCAAGCAGCATTTATTTTCAATACCACTGATTGTCTGCCTGGCTGATTGATTGGCTGATGGGCTGTACTCCCAAGAGCTAGAATAAGGTACTCTGCAGATGTGTTCTGCTTTTAACCAGTTTTCACTGTGCATATCGATGGACTTTAAAGTATATTTGATGTCTGAACTAATGAAATAGGCAGTTCTAAATGTATTTAGAGGGCGTCTCAAGAATTCCCAGATTTTAGCTATTTATGGGCCTAACACCCTTGATTACCAGGCGCTGTAATCATAAAGAGCAACAAATAGAACTCCTACTCCTGATGTGAGATCAGTACTGGCTCCAGATATTTTCAAGATCAAAGTTAATTGTGCAGTTTCCAACATTCAGTAAACTCACCATATCTGCCTATTTTGTTAAAGCTTCAGCAATCGGCTCCTGAATAAGCTGCTCTTACATAATCCTACATAGAGTATTCTATGTAACACTTGGTATTACAGGATGGCAGCATGAGCAATCCCATCACCAGCCTCATCCCAAAGCACCCCACCCCTCTTTATGGCTCATATGTCTTCCTTTGTAAAAATACATCGTTGCTCGTTGAGTCCAGCCTGTTACTTTGACAATCTACGAAAGCCTGTCTGATTACGATCCATCTGTCAGCCTGAGGTAGAAGCCGGTGTCCCTCACTACAACCTGGGTGGAGGCAGCAATAGCACCGGCCTGTACCTCCATCTCTCCCCTGTGTCGAACACAGAGCGAATCTCCGTGTGGATTGCTGGGAAATCTAAACCCACTGTGCCTCTCCCACAGCGACAATGATGAGAAACCGCTGAAGGGCAGCCAACGCTCCCTCAGCAAGGACATCAAGGCGGCGGACAGCGGGGACAGCCTGGTGGACTATGGCGATGAGGACGTTCAGTTCAACGAAGACGGCTCGTTCATCGGCGAGTACGGGAGCCGCAAGGAGAAGAGGGCGCCGGCCGAGGTCAAAGCGTCCACTCAGACCCCAGTGTGAGGAACAGAACGCCTAGCCAGTTTCATCCTACCCACATGGAACCAACAAACCCAGGAGGACAGAGACATTATCGAAGACTGCCGAACATTTGTGTCAAAACGTAATGAGTCTGCACACTGTCATACTCATCCTCTAAAGCTCTGTTCCTTCACACTGCAACATGAGCGTTACTAAATACTATGTATATATAGTGTATATTGTATGTGTTGAGTGTTCCTTTTTTTATAATTATTATCACAAAAACTTTAGAAGTGGTGATTTGTTTTGTATTATTTTCTCTTCATATTGGTGTTTTCAGCTGCACTCTGGTTTGTATAAATGCACTCTCACATCACGCTATGGCATTACATGAACCACTGATGTCACTGTGTTGCAGACAAGTGGGGAGAAGTTGATATTTTTCCAGTCGAGCAATTATTACTGACCTTTTTATATCTGAAACAATTCATTAAATTTGATGTAATTTGTGTATGAAAGTGTGCCTATTAACTTGTTGTTCTCAGTGGTTTATACCTGACAAAATAATGAGGAAATCTACATACCACTGCATCACCATAGCTATCCTGAGACATGAGTGTCCCTGTTATCAGCAGCTTCAGTCTTTGGTTAATGTGAAGCCCCTTCTCCATAGGCGTCCTCTGGCCACATTCCTCTCCATTTGCAGATCCTTCCTGATTCCTCACAGTTTTTTGGAACCACTGCAGGGTCGGTAAGCGTGGGTGTTTTTACTTCTGATGGTCCAGTAGACTTGGTTTGATTAGGAACCAAAACTTCGACATGAGGTAAAAAAAACCTCATGTCGCAGCAGCATTTTCAGCTGCTGCGACATGAATTCACTTTCACACTGAACTGAGTGAAACAAACCAAACCCTCTGAGCAACCCAAGAACCACAGGAGAAAACAACACGAAAACTTCTGAAGGATACTCCTAGTGCAGTTTCCGTCTTTATAAATTATGAACAAAATTTTACTGGTTGTAGTTTTTTCTTTTGGCTTTGGTAAAAGACTGTAACCATTGTTCCCCCAAGTGCTAGACTAGGCACATGAACTAGAGTTCAGTGAAAACGGACTATAGAGGGATGCTGTGAATGCATCGTCAATCAACTTTGCTAGAAGAGAACACTCAGCATCAACTGAACAGGGAAATTTGCAACAAATATAGCGAGAAGTTTCAGAAATCCGTCTGCCCACAAAATGACATTATTGGAGCACCAACGGCCCTCCCATGGTTTTGCCCATGTTCATACCCCATGGTGAGGATCACACTCCCAGATTGGATAAAATTCACCAAAACATTGACCGTCTAAAGTGAGACTTGACAATGGAGAAAGGGTTTTATTTTTCCACATATTCTCATCTTCCTGAAATAATAGCCTAGATGAGATATATATATATATATATATATATATATATATATATATATATATATTATATAATTTTATTTTTTTGCCAAAATATTGTTTTTATAGCCTAAGTTTCTTTTGGAAATAAAAATATGTTGTTTTTCTCTGCAAAAAATACTTGGGCCATTATTTTAGTATAGTGCCAGGTTTGGAACATGTGGTCCATTCCAGATGACCAATGATTATTTCATTTTTCATAAAACATTCCAGACACTGATGTTTAAATGAGAAACCTTTGGCTAAGACTTGTTAGCTCAGGAGTTTTTAGCAGCTGTTTCCCACTCCAGCAAATCTGAAGATCAAATCGACAGTCAGCAGTTATTTAACTTAGAAATAACCTTTATTTTTCCTCAGTGGGGAAATTCAGGCAAACCTGCAGCAAAGTGACAAGTTGAAATGTAGACTCACACCAAGATTTAAACAATGTACAAAGTAAATCCTGTTAAAAAGCCTTGATACTCTGATGATGCATCCTAGTCACATTCAATTGAAACGGTTTGATCTGATTCAGTAGGTCACGATATTACAGCTGAATGTCACATCTCAGGTGTGTGGGGGTGTGTGGGTGCATGTGTGTGCGTGTTTGAGAGTGTGTTTGCCATATTCCTCATTGATCTGAAAGGACCCTCTGGTGGTATTTAATCTGAATACTCCTAGCTTAACATGAATATTTTAATTTCCATCTAAAGTGCCTTGCAAAAGTATTCCTAGCTCTTGAAATTTGTACATGTTGTGACATAACAACCACAAGCTTTAGTGTAATTTAATGTGATTTTTATGTGACAGATCAAGGTTCCATCTGATTATCAAAAATAAAAATGTAGCATGTAGATACATTATCGCCTTTATTGAAACAGGAAGAGAAAACACTCATTGAGATTTAAAGTCTCATTTATTAAAGCATCCCTAGCTTTAATAAATGACATTTATTAAATGTCATTCAGCAGCAAAACTTGATAAAACAAGACAATTGCAATTTTCTTAAAATGATAAACAGCCTGAAGCATTACTCTCGTAAGTAAGAGTTGTCAATTATTGTAATTTCCATTTGATTTAAAATAATTTAAGGAGCCTTCTACTTTTCAACGTCCATCCATCCATTTTCTGAGCACCCTTCTCCCTTACGGGGTCAGGAGTTGCTGGTGCCTATCTCTAGCTGCGTTCCGGGCGAGAGGCGGGGTACACCCTGGACAGGTCGCCAGTCTGTCGCAGACTTTTCAACATCTACAAGACAATTAAACTACATCTAAGAAACCTGAAAGATATCTGCATAGCGGTGAAAACAGACTTTATGCTGTTAAACAAATTAACCTCAGAGCTGCAAGAACAATGCAAACAAAGCTGGGTTCAAAATTTAACCCTGGAGGACTCCACAAATTAAGAGGGGTTTGTTTTGATTTTCTGAGGGGTTTGTTTTGATTTTCTGTCTCCAGCAATCATCGGGCCAGAAGCAGAGGTACACTCTAGACATTTCATCAGTTCATCACAGTGGAACATACACACACAGGACAAACGGCAAGACACACACTGTCATACCAACGGACAGAGGAAAACATGCAAAAATAAGTCTTATTTAAAATAAATTTTAATGGGAGGACATCTGGCAGTGGATATTAAAGTGCTATTAGAGCAAAAGAAAGTTGAATACAAACACACAGCTTACTTTTAAGACTTCCAAAAAATGTAAATGCATTATATAATTTTCCTTCTACTTGATAATTATACAACAATGTGTTGTTTGTCACATTAAGTCCCATAAAATACTTTTAACATTTATGGTTAGAAGGTAAACAGAGCGATTAGAGAAGTTAGGATACTTTTACAAGATATTGTAACTACAAAGATTCAAGATTAGTACAGTCTGTAGGTGGCACAAAAAACTTCAAACTGCCAGTAAGAATTGTGTTAATGTGAGACCAGCAATTATTATTCCCATCTGATGCCTGAAATGAAAACATGAAACTATCCCTTTAAATGTTTTTTCTTTTTCAAAGCAAAATAGAACGTGCCTCAGACTGATCACCAACACGATCACTAAAATGATCACCAACATGATCACTAAAATGATCACCAAAATGTTCGGACCATTAAGAAAATGAAAACAAAAATGTTCTGGCTTCTTACTTCACTGAGTCAGGTGATTAAAACCACAGAAGTTTCTTTGATTAACATTTCCTTGTTAAGTTCAACCCAACCTGGACCAAAAGGCCTTCCTGTAATCAGATTACTTTATCTGGCTGCAGATGCTTGTCATTCACCTGTTTCAGTCATTCAGTTGTTTTTCAGTGAAATGTCTTTAAATGCCTTGTTATCTCCACACTGTCAAGCAAAACACACTTCTGTATTCATATTGCAAATAACCAACATGGATGTGTTCTGTAAAGATTCAGCCATTGCATGCTATGAATGTTAATCTGTATTCTTTTTTATGCCATTAAATTGCTTTACTTTCCTATATTTGTGGTCTCTGTCTGTCTGACCGGAGGTCATGAATGCTTCTTCATCACTATTTGCACGTTCCAGATATTAAACCCTCCTTGAATAAATCTTTTGACCTTTTACCTGCAGGACAGAATGGAGAGGAAGAGGTCAGTAAAAGCCACTTCGCTCCCTCTGAATAAACTGCAGGGTGTTTGATGAGCTCTTCCAGTTTGGAGGATCATTTTCACCACCGTCACTCCGGGGGCGAAGCCTTGGTTTGAGCCGAGCGTCACGTTTGATCACTTTGGCTGCAGGAGAGAAAATCAAAGCAGCAGGCAAGAGGCAAAGGCTGGATGAAGGAGCAAGAGCTGTAATCATGTCTGAAGGTTGATATCAGGGAGCAGGGAGGGTCAATGTGACGGTTCTGACCACATGGGTCACACCTGCTTCAAATCCTGACAGCCTTTCCTCATTCAACCCTGAGGTGTCAGCAGGGCAACTGAGTTCTTTCTTATGTGTGTTCACTCACATTAGCCTCTGTTACCGATCAAATAAACATACAAACGCCAACAAGAAATACGTTTTACGCCATTTTTGGGGGGGGGATTCCACTTTATCTCAGTGCCTCATACTGGATAATAACTTTATACAAAAAAATAAAAATTAAACATACATTTTTTTGTCTTTGTTTTGGCACCCCCTCTATGGTGGCGCCCATATGCGGCACACTTGATTTCTGTATTTAAAAACGGTTTATAAAAACAGTTGTTAAATGCAGAAACTGTCCACGAGAATCCATTTTTCTGCCTCCGCCCCTCCAGCACTCCAGGAGGCATCATGCTGGATTTCTGTTAGTCATTTTTCTGTCTTTGATTTGGCGTGCCGCCCACAGATTTCTGTATTTAGTGGCTACATTTCAATGATAATTAAGTACAGAAAATGTTAGTGCGGCACCCCAATGCGCTGGAGTTCTGTAATAAAATAATACAAAAGGTGCCGGCTGGAAATCATTTTTTCACAATAATTTAGGCACCCCTTCTAGAGTGGCACCCATTTGCATCACATACGGTTCATTAACAGTTTTTGTGCCACTAGGTGTCACTAATGGACCCTGTGGAAGACATTATGAATGTCCTCGCCTCTACGCCAGCAGCACTGGTGGTGTTTTTACACACAGTCAGAGCTGGCGTTGCCACTTCCTGCGCCTAATTGTTCAACACAACAGTTTGCAGCTTTCTAAAATAAAATTGAATCACCTCACACAGGGGGAAATGTGAGGAAACTGCAAAATGCCGACAGTTTTACTCATTTTCTGTGCAGCGCGAAAGAGATTCTGCTGATTTGGAAAGCATCATCAATCAGATATCACTTAGCCAGATTCAAATAGGTCTGCTAAATCTCTGGTCATATTTAACAAGCAATACTCCATCTGGAAGACCAACAGGAAAAAAGAGTGTTCTTTGTATTCAGCATTGGGCCTCCATGGGCCAGATGTTAGGAAGTAGCAATAGGTTCTCTCAGCGTCTGCAGGAGAGAACGCTGAGGCTGCTTTGGATTCATATCAGTTACTGGCTGGCAGATTCCTGCAGTGATAGTTAGGGAGGAAGGGTCAAAATTACCTCAGAAAGTTCTGAAACTATGTTTTTTTTTTTTTTTTTAATTACCTTAGTCACTGTTTACAGTTTACATACACCAAGTAGGCTTATACTCTTCAGTTTAGTAAAAGTAGCAAAAAAAAAGGCAGTAAAGTAAAAATGTTTTGGTTAAGTCATGTATGCATCACATACCAGACTCACAAATAGGAAGTTGAACTTTTTTTTTTTTTACCAACCTGACGTAAAAATTAAATATGGCTGCCTTGCATGATGAAAATCCTCTCCAAGCACTTTTACCTCAATAAATCCTTCACACACATTATGACAGAACAGCTTATTTACATGGAATTTTGGTTTCATTTCTCATTTAATCAAAACATCACAATTGCAAAATTATGTTTTTTCAGCATTAGCAGAATATCTATAAAGACTCATAGTTGGAACGCAGCTTGTGATGCTTGTCTTGTCCACTTGTCAAAAGAAACAGGCAAATATTGGGACAGCTGCCACTCAAACCTTGACTAACATGCTGTTGAATCAAGGGGGTCCCCTCCACCACATCTCTGGACTTGTATTTAGAGCAGAGAAAACCCTCAGCATGACAGGGGTCAGCCACCAGATCACTATTTTAGTATTTGCAGTAAATCACAGGGTCACTCAGTTAAATAAAAGATGTTATTTGGACGACATCTCTGGTTGCGTTAGAGGTGAAAGGCATAAAAGTACAGCAGCATAGACTTAAGCAGTCCTATGTGCTTCAAAGCTTCCATATCATGTCAATTTCAGCGACTCTGGAAAAGAAAAAAAAAAGCTCCATTGTGTGTGTCCGTACTGCTAATGGAATTCTCAGCAGGGAATAGAAGGCTAGACTCTCTCTTTGGGTATCGCCATTTGTTGAGTGATGAATAGAGCAGAGAGAGGGTCAATGACTTCAAGCACAAGGTGGAGTTCCAAG